AATTGACACTCCACACCGTAATTCTGCCATATGTACACCCTCAAGTCATGGGCGGAATCATGAGCTCAGGAGGTGATGACAATGTCCGGTGTGAGCAACGTGTTCCGCAGTGACACCACGGTCTACGTCCGAAGCGTCATTTCGTTTTCACAGACGGTTCTGGGCCGAAAGACAACACCTCACCTGCAAAGCTTAATCATAAGGGTCTCTGACGAAGCAGTACAGCCCACATCGCTGCCCGCAGAATGCCTTGCAGTGTTCATGGCGTCGCTCCAAACATTTTCGCCCATGCATCTACGTACTGATCTCTGATATGAGATCTGATGTGTCTCTTCCCGTCGAACCGACGTACGGTGTTGACAAAAGTATCGAACTGATCACCATCAATCGTCTCACCTCACCAGACTGGACCAGTCATTGGTTGCAACCCTCATATTCAGCGCTTGGCTGCGAGCTTGTCTGCCGACTCCCGATTCTTGTTGCCGCTTGCAAAGACTGTCCCGAGCAACTAGATCGTGGGCCACTACAGGACCAGCTGATCAGCACGCACAGTGTCTCCATACTGTACAGCAGCGATGTTCTTTCAGTCAGTCACGGTATAATAGCTGTGGATCGCTTGGACCAAGGACTCCGCCATGATCGTCTCTTCTGACTCGGCTCATGCCGCCCCACGTTCGATAGCTATGTGGTATACTCCGCGCTGCTTGTGGCTGTCAACGACTGTCTGTCCGTACGAGGTTGGGATACTGTATCTTTACTGATCATTTGCATTCGTTGTTTTGGCAGGGAGCCCGAAATACATACCCTGCGTATCTCCGAAACGGCCGGGTTGGTCAATGAGTTTGGGTGATAAAACCAAAGCTCTTTGACAGGCGTCGAGCTGCGGGACTCAATTTGGCGACAACAGGTTCACCAATGGGAGTCAGGTCCGTAAAGCAGGGGATTCGGTGAGAAACGGTTGTCACTACAGTACAGGTACAATCGCAAACATAGGTGTGGTGTTCATCAGAATGAATGGTGCCAAAAGATGACGGCGCAAGATCTTTGGCACCTCAGGCTGAGGCCTCTCGCTACGGGCACATGGGTTAAGATCCGAATCGCTGTAAGGTCCTTACCACCTGGACCTGCGTCTGCCATGGCATGCGCTGGAGCATTGTTGCTGATCTCGGACAAGATGGACAGCCAACGGGCTCGCGGCCCCAGGACGACCGTTGTCATCCAGGCTTGCAATTGCCCATGATTCGCGAAGATGGAATAGGTAGGACATGAGTGCGATATTCTCTCCCATCAAGTGAGATTACGTATCGTCTGAGAAGTCGAGAGTTAACCCAAAACGAGATGACCCATTTAGACTCACTAGGTGGAGCTGTCGAAGACTGCCCCGAGGTCGACCCGGATCCTCTGTCTAATTGGCGCAAAGTGTCTGCTCAGAGCGACGTTTACCAGTAACTGCCCACAACAAGGATTCGCTGCGTCGTTCGCTGCGTCGACCGGACACCGAGTTTACGGGCCTATGTATCACCGTGGGTCGATATGTTACAACCGACTCGAGCGCTCAACGGGGGGGTTAGCGGCCTATTATTGTCGGTATCGTGTTGTGATGCTCCTTCTACTCCAAGACTCGTAGCGCGCATATAAGCTCTGACTTCTCCTGGGCGAATGGAGGCTGTGCGAAGTATCGGCACGGCGCGCTCGAACCTTCGTCCTTAGGTACTCATCGTCGCAATGTCGCAACGTGAGCCTCGACGTTCGAGCTTTTGCTAAAGGTCAAGGTGGCATCCTCAGAAGCACACGCCTCGAGCATTGCACATTCATCGGATTGGGATACGATTGGTTTCGCCGACGTGTCTCAAGACACCCACGTGTCATGGTCACCTTGTTTGCAACCTGATGTTGGCCACCATTCTCAATCTGCTCCCAAGACCGCCAACGCCACTCAGCGATCACTACGGACTACAGTAGGGCCAAAAATGCACTGCTAGTGTTCAATGTGTACGGTTGTACGCAATCCGATGCCTTCGCCCAGCGATGATTCGTGCTGAAGGGGGCGTGGCTCAGATGTGGATATACAGTACAGAACCTCCGAAGATTTTAGCGAGGCTATCGTGAGCCTAGGACTGCAATCCCATAGATCGCAAAGCTCGAGATCAGCGGAACGGGAGCGCCCATGCATTGCGAGTTTCCACGAGCTTCCCTACAATCACTGTCTTCGACTGAGCAGTACTGCCAGCTCGGGACCTACGCGGTCCGGAGCCTCCACGCCGTGGTCGGCTAAGAGTTCCCTCATCGCGTCCTCCCAATGCTTGTTCAATCTCTCGGCGGCCAGAGCTCGGGAGTCGGATGCCTCAAGCTTTTGCTGCAGGGAAGAAACCTTCGACCGAGCCTCAGACAGCGCGTCTTTGGTTGACTGAAGTTCCACCTGTACATCTTTGATATCGACCCTGAGTTTGGCCATCTTCAAAAGCTCGCTACGTCCGGGAGCGAGATCTGCTCGAGGGAGAACCGCTAGCACTTCTCGGCCGAGATCGAGTTGCTGGGTCATGCCATTGATGAAATTTGACAAAAGTGTGCGTGGCTCCACTTGCTCTGACGTAACGTGTCAGCCTTGGGAAGAGAATGAGCGCGAGGGTCGAGTGCCCGGGGATAAATATTGATTGAGGCAACAATTGACATACCGAGGGTCATACTAGGCCTTGGGCGAGATCGATTGTCTTGACGTCCTTCGCGATGGTCATTCTGAGTAGTATCCTCGCCTTTCTGTTTCTTACGAGGCGTCTGCTCGTCAGTGAATGCATATGCGATTGCCCGACCCACCTCGGGGACAACATCCGTGTGATCTGCAGGTCCGACTCGAGGACCATCGTTATCGGAGCTGTCAGGAACGACGGCCTCTGCTGCGGAGCCCTCTTGACCCGGCAGATGGCGCTTTTGTGCCTTGGCTCGAGGTGGTAGGAGCTTCACGCGAATCAACATACGCAGTTGAGAAGTGTGAGAATGCTCACCCCACCACCCACTCGGCCCTTGACCCAATCGACGCTGCAGTCCTCGGTCTTTTCTATCGTACAACCCCAGCAAGCGCCCAGACAGAGTGTGAGGAACGGGGGAAACTGCGCAACGCTGCGGAGACGATGCACGACTGTTGGTCCACCCGATCGATTCTTGCAAACGAGCTCCGGATGCCTGCTGAGTCAGTTACTGAGAGAATGATCAGAACTCACTTGAAGCCATATGCTGGCCATTCCCCACTGGCAGGTGCAACCCCCCACTCCTCAACGCTTCGTGGCACCACGGTGAAGCCACAAGCGGTCATGACTGTCGGCGTAAGAGCGAGCTCGGCGACACTTGCGAGAGACCAATCGATTTGATGTATCGGAGGATGAACAGATGGACTTTCTTGAGCTGCATTGGGCGTCTCCTGCGGCTGAGACGTCAAGAGGCTCTGCGCAGAGGCGAGCAGTTGACATAGTCTTGATCTGGCGAACTCATCCCCTAGTGACGCCGTCCAGGACTCGAACGTATCGTCACACGACGGCATGGGGAGATGGTGCGTCGAGAGACGGTTGTGAGAGGAAAACGGCTGAATTTGGAAAGTGCTTGAAAAAAATTCTCATGTGCCCTCTTTTTGATTCCGCTTCTTCGGACCCGATGATTGTCCGAATTTGTGATGCTTATTTCGGAGTTGCGGTAAGGGCATCTCGGTCACGGAGAGGCATCTCGGTCACGGTACGCGAGGCAATTCCAAGGTTGTGGGAGATGTGTTCCACATGGCGCTGCGATCCACTCAGGAGCTCCAGCGAGTAACAAACTATCAACAAAGACAGGCAGTGTCTTGTTCGTGGCCAGAGATGGACAGTCGGAACGGTGTTCTAGCGGTTAGATGCAGGGCTCAACGGTAGTGTCGCTCGAACTCGCTGAGACCATGTCCAACTTTTGACATAACCTGTCAGTGAGATGATGCATAACTTTTGGAGCGTCCATGCATGAACGTGAAGCCTATGAATTGCGGAAAGAGCGAGTTCGATAAGGTATCAGTTCCCAGCCTTATATCGCAGCTAACTGACATGCGGTTGAAGTATCTTAGAGAGCGGTGTCCGTGCCTGCGAGGCATTGCAAGCTTGGCGTAGACGCTTTCGTTCATCCGCATGGCTGGCATGATTACCTTGGTAGGGAGTCAATCATCAACGAAGAGACACAATGAATGATGGGCCGCACGAACGGATTATTGGTGTACTATCGAACTCCCAGGATCATACTGACTGAGGGTCCAGATCTTCGTCAGACTTAGTAAAGGTTTGTAATCACCATATGCTGGTCGAAGAGATCATAAACTACAATTGATGACAAGTTCGACCTGTGACAGTTGTGTGTTTCGGGCGAAAAGTCTCCCTTGACCAGGTTCAGTCCCGCGGAGGGTCGAACTCATCGGAACTCACTTCGTAGATGCGAATAAGTGAGCAAAAGTGAGCTAAAGACTACTAGCTGTGACTCTTTGACCTTCGTTCTCTTCTTGAGGAGTCAATCGACGAGTTCGAGCGTCGGTTCGATCCTCTGATCTACTTTGTTTAATACCTTGTCTCTCGCCTGCGGCAGTCTCATAGCCATTTATGACGAATCGTAGGGGTCTTGTTTGCCTCTGTGTATTGTGTGGGGAGTCTGGTGCGAGTGTGTCGTGTGGGGAGTTTGGTCTCTGTTGTGAGCTCAGCATATCGCTCAGGGTAATGTTTGGTGTGAGCCGGTCAGTCATGTGCCACGCCAGTTTTGACAATTTTTGTACCCTTCGAACTCGCCATCGTACACCTCAATCAAAGTGTTGAGCATCAGAAATGATTTGTGTTTGCAAACAAACACTGATTATACCCTTAAAATGGTCGTTGCAACCATTTTCGACGAGTTCGATTGTTGCAGAAATTCCGATTTCTTTCGAATATCCGTTGGTACAGTCCTGCTGTGGGGTGTGGCACCTGCATGACTTCAGCGTAGCCCCGCTTGACATCATCCATCAGTCGACGTACGGAACAGTATGCGAGAGTGGCCGTGGGGTCATCAGCGCCATCTGCAGCAACCCCGACATGGCGTCTCGACACCATCGTCCACATGTGTGTGTGATTTAGCCACACCAGTCTCGTACCGTAGACTTGCTCCGGAAGAGCGGGGGTTGTATACCAGCCAGATCTAAGTTGCATCTAGCGCAATCGGTCCTCACAGGAGATAGTCCACATCCTAGGATGTCTGGGTTGAGTGCATTCATCCAAACCTCGTCTTGATACAACACTCTGATTGGACGGACACTAAGATGTTTGCTCGCGACTCAGTCACCTCACAACGTCATACTTGCCAAAGTCCATCTCTGGACTGAGAAGAGTTTTTTTTTTAATGAATCCAGACTGCCCAAGAAAGGGGTAAATCGTTAGAGGGGTAGTCAAATGTAGGGTGATGCCTTACGATGCATCCAGGTTTTCAGTGTACTGCGGCACACGCCGGAGTGTCGATGACAAATGATAATTTTGTTGCGGCAATTCGCATTCTCAATGGCATGCTTGAGAAGCTGGCAATACCTTCATTTCGACTCAGCGGATTGTACCTGACCCCCCAGCCCATATTCGCACTGTGAGGAGTGATGTAAAGGTACGCCGGAGTTTAGCCTGGAATCGATTGTGCTTCCGGCCGGTAGAGATTGCGCTACAGAACCGAACGACAACTCGACCTCTCAGGTTTAGCAGTACGTGACTGAGACGGATACCATGTACCTTGCTAGTGAGTGTGACCTCGGTCAAACTATAGTAAGGAGGGGAGGAGCCGGGTAAATGGTTGAGCTTGTTTCAGTCACCGATCAAGACGGGTTGTCATGTTATCTTTCAACCTGCAACAGAGGAAACTGGTAATTACTGTTGGTTACATTTGACCTTAAACAAATGGAGTTACAGGCCGGGGTGCAAATTCTCAAAACATCGCAAAAGGCGGATGGCTTCTGCTGCGTGCGGCTTCCAGGACACAACCAAAATCTCTCCGGCCCGTTTGTACTCCGACGCCAGTCTGGGTCATTGCTTTGGAGCCACGGCGTCTGTGCCTCCCCAGAAGGTAACTAGGTAAATATGCAGGTATAAGCACTGTATCTCCGCACATCGAGGCATCCACTAGGGACTGGGAAAGATCGGAACAATGGAAGAGGCGTCGATTGTCCGGATTGTTCTCCTCTCCGGCATGGTCTGCCCGCTCACATCTTTTTTCCGAATTGTGAACAAGAGCCACATTCATCGGTTTTCCGGAGCCCAGAAAATTCGAGGCACAACAACTTAATCGAACTCGGTGGGAACCGCCGGTCCATGCTTAATGAGCCGTGTTTCTGCTTGCATACAGACTGCAAAACCCTTCAATAACAACGAAAATTCTGCGATCAAAGGTCTCAGCGAGTTCGAGACGGCAATTCCCATGGAGCATTGGATCCCTTAGCACGTGGCGGCACTTGATTCTGGGTTGTAAAGATAACAAAAATAACGATTGAGCTCTGGTTGGCACGGACTTATTCACCACGTCATGGTTCTGGAGTGAATTCCCTTCATTTCCATGTGAATTGTCTGTGAGGATCCCACTTGCGCGGCGACGCCCCGGGGATCCTCGATTACGTCCCTAATCATCCGGTACCTCCATCGGTCGCGTGGGTCATCAGGTATGTTATTTATCCTTCATTCATCGCTCGCAAGCTGTATATCTCTGGACGTACAGTATCTTCATGCACGAGGCTAACTCTAGTCAGACATACTTAGTCATCTGGGGGACGCTTACATCATGACGCTTTAATGAGACGATGAGTCAGCCACTTCCTTTTACCTTGGCCTCGACCCTGACAGCAGTTACCTCGTTGCGCGCGCCTCTGGAACATCAAAATCAAGGGAGTCGTCCAGAGGTGGTGGGGACATCGCGATCTGGCGGGATACCGGACTGAGGCTAGCGTCGTACCGGCACACCCAACGAGGAAAAGCATTGGGCGGCACGCATTGCATGTCGAGCTGAGCTCTCTCGTAACAGAGCTTGTTTTTCACGAAGCTAGTGAAATCTAGTAACCCGTAGGCTACTGCTAAGCCCGCATGCTTACTCCGGTGTATATGGACAAAACGCGAGAAAAAGAACAATCGCTTTTCAAGGTAAGAGCCACGCGCGTTTTGAGGACCCGTGATCAACGGATAGCCTGGTTGAGACCCCACAATCGATGAAGATCTCGATCTCGCCGAATTCTCATAACATCCTCAGTAAGCCACTGAGCTTCGAAGTGGGCAGACTTTGAATCATCTCAAGAAACCGAGCTTCGTATCGAAGATATCGTTGTCGAGTTCGACATCCGAACATATTGTAGTGATCTGTGCGCAATGGAGTTGGAAAATTCGTTTTCTTTCGAACTCACCGGGAGATCATCCTGGAGCCGGATAACGCCCTTTGACCTCTCAAACATTTGACTGACATACTTTTTGCTTCAAGGATTTGGTTATATCCTTGCATCTCGGCGAGATCGATTCCTATTTTTTCGCTCTAAGATTTGAACGATTTCTATTGTTTCGCTCTAAGATTTGAACGGTTGGCATACAAGACCGAAAATTCGTTCCACAACCGCTCTGGCTCTGGCCGGATCTCCATCCCGACGTCAGATCGTGCACCACGCTCGAGCACTCTTGTCGAGATATAGCGACTCGAGGCAAGAATGTGACGTTCAGCGCCCCTGGTCATCATGCTTCTGGGACCAGTGACATTCTTTGCAACGGGGCACTGTATCCTCTGGTGGCATCAACGGAGCAGGCGGAGACTAAGGCTCTCTTTTAGATCTTGTCACCATAGCGCGCCTGACCATCTCGATCGTGTACAAAATCCAGTGATTCTGGTTGTTGGCATGATGTGAATACAGTATGATGCGCCACCTTTCTGTTGAGGTCGCTGCAGGTAGATCAACAATACCTAGACGATGCGAACCCTTCCAGAGATCAATACTACAGGCTGATGATCCACAGGTGCTCTAAACCGCAGGTAAAACACTGCCCGTCCCTGATGCACGTAGGCGCGCTTATGATGAGCGATATTCTTTACTCGGACCTGAATAATGCCACATCGGCGTTTCGGTATTGCGTTGGGTGTGTTTTTTGTTTGCAGCTATGTGAGTTTGTTTGCTGTGCCACATCGGCGTTTGAAAATTTTCATCTTGATGGGCTTTATGATTGCATCTGTTTGCAGTTTATTTGCTTTCCCGTCCTACTTCCCTTCTCATTCCCAGACTGACTCGCAATGAAGAGAACAGTTTCTGCGCCGTATCCATCTCCAATTGCTGAATACCGAAGGGCCCTCCTTGTCACCGAGGAGCCCTCCCCTTGGGTCATCATTGACGATGCACCTTCGCGTGAGTGGACCTGTGCGATTTTTACTGATCGTGATATAGGACGACGAACCTATCGGCCAGACACCCCCCCAAGTCCATCACCCTTGAGTCAGCAGACTCACTCACAGACCGCTGCACTACCAGCGACGGAGCCAGATGCAGTGGCAACGCGAGGCCTGCGGCGAAAGTCTCTTCCGAGTGACTGGATGACTCAGCCTGCTGCATATGATCCAGTCGTCCCCTCGACCAAAGGCGTCTTCGATCAAGTCCAAATCCCGTCATCGAATCTTTCTTCGCATCAAGTGGACTCTCTTCGATCATCAATCGCCTATGATGACTTTTCAGTCAGTCTCGAACCTGATCAGACTTCTATGACTCGAGCGAAAATGAGTCGGGTGGCTCTCCGGTCTGGCGGAGAGCAGGAAAAGGGCAGTCTAAACCAGCAGGTCTTCGGGCTCATGGCGTCTGAAGAGGATCCAGGTGGTAGGTTTTGAAACTGCTTCCGCTTACCCTTCCTCAGTGTCAACGGAGGTGATGAAGGAGAATCAGGATGAGACAACATCGGACACGAGCGAGCGCGAGCGAGCAGAAGTCCGAGACTGCCCAGGTGGGTTCGTTCCATGATGTGGCCTGACCGTTCAGCGTTAGAGATCCCCTGTCCATCGTCGGGAGCCACCCTCAGGCACGATGGCTCGGCTCTTCCGTCCACCAATTCGGGGAATCGTGTAGCTCCTCCCAGCCCACACTTACGACATGACTCCATTGGCTCGCATTGGGAAATGCGAAGCGCGGCTCATGAGAACTGGCTGGAGTCCAGGCGAATGTTTCTTCGTCCTGCGTCGCCGCCTGGTTCAACAACCTCGGTGCTGCCAATGTTCAGTGCCGAGAACGGTCTCGTAAGAAGCGCGTCCATCAATATACGTAGGTAGTCTCAGGTCTGAGCTTGCTGATCGGCTGACAAAGTACTGCGCAGATGGCGCGGCACCAGCCCGCGACCTTAGAAACCAAGACCAAGCAGAAGTGGGCGGGAAGGCGATGACACCGTCTTCCGCTCCACTTATCCGCGTATATGACTACGCTTTCAACGCTGAGTCGCCGGCCATTGAGGCCATTGACATCGCCAAGCCCGAGATCGACTCTCCGCCACACATCAGCAAACATCGAGCTTCGACGTATAAATCTCTTCGCAGAACTGTTAGCGCTACAAGGTCATACGGTGCCCTCTCCTTCGACCACCGATGCCTCGAACGCAGAGCGGCCTCCCTTGCGAAGTCGACGACTTACTTATCCGATACGCAGTCCACCCAAGCGGGACCCAGGTATTTGAATGAGCGCACCGAGACAGGAACTGGAATGACCTCGGACTGCGTTCAGTTCGCAGATGTAGATGCTGAGGCCGAGATCGCCCCTGAGCAATCTCTCGAGGAGCGCCATCCGTGAGGATATTCTCTCTGACGAGCATTAAGCGGACATCTGACTTCATCAGACCCTCCTCGTGTGGTCAGGATGAACCAGTATACAGCAATTTCAACACCTCATCGTCTCTCTCGACAGCGACTTTCATAGCGATTCCCCGTCGTTCATCGTCCTCTGCCTCGGCAGAGACTCAAAAGCAAACAAAGATTCCTGTATATCTGGAGAAGCAGGTGCAGACCGACCCCTTGCTCCCAGAAGCTCCGAGGGTTCCCTCGGTAAGTCATATTGATCGGGGCGTACAGACGGAGTGCGAGAACTCTGGGTTGTCGATGGACACTGGCGACACGGGTACACGGGGGCGGAGTGGAGCTCGAGAGGGTACAGCTAGAGGCGAGTGAAGACACAGGTCCCCCCCCCCCCCCCCTTTTTTTTTTAAGCCAATACTTTACCAGATCCCCGCAATGACTTTACCGTGGTCCCTGGCGCGGACCCTGGTACAAATTCAAACACCTCTGAGGACGCGGTCTCAACCTCTAAAATCCTTCGAGGTGTCGAGGAATCACTCGCGGCGGTGAAAGGCGGGGTTCAGTCGACTGCCCTGGAGCCTGCTGTTTTAGCCAGAGGTAGGCAGTCTACAATGGGGCTACCTATTTGTGTGACCAATAATGACTTCGAACAGGCAGGACTAATGAGGATGACACCGCTCAGACGAAAGACTTTGTCGCTGAGTCCTCAAGCTGCTCCGGATTAAGACGGGAGTCAGCCACTTGGGAGTCTCATGATGGTTTCTCCGACACTCCCAACAAGCTACCGAAGCATAATTCGCTGGTTCAGTCACATCGGCTGCAAAACATTGACAGGCTCACAGCGATACGGGATTTTGAGGCCAGGTGGCGCGATCAGAAGCACAAACTCGACCAACCTCGGCCAAGCTGGGCAAGGAAGTGAACAGCTTTCACGAATATACCCTAGAGTCTCATGCATCTTACGACGGTCCTTCGTATTCCTGAGCACTATCATCCGCGGTCATTCTACATCTGCTGAATTTGTAGCTCATATCGTCAACGTAGACAACGTCCCTTCGATGCTGCGTGAAGGTGTGGACAGGGTTTAAGGTGAATGTATTGACGACCAGACTTCTGTCTTGCATCGATGTCACAGGAGAGACATCCGCGTGACTCGACTGCCAAGTGGATTCCTGATTAGCTCCAAGCTCAAGGATCGACCACAAGGAGCCCCTTACACATCAACTAGAGAGCTCTGCACAACGGTCTGTTCATCACTAGTGTCTGATTCGGGCCCAAACCGTCCTTGAGCACTGATAGGCATCCGCATTACTCCGGTTTAGGCCTTAGAATAGGAAACACAGTTGAATACGAGCGACCTCAATGTGACAGCTCCAAACACAGATGCGCGAGACTACCCTACGTAACGTACGGACCGCCAATCGGAGAGCTGCTGCTGGCATACGATCCTCATCTCTAGCACTGAACATTTGCTCCAGTTATCGCTCGGAAAACCCACCACATGTACAGTATGAAGCTCTCGATACGGTGGACATTCATAGCTCGTAAGAATGAATCTCAGCTTCTACTGGGCGCTGTGATTCTGTTTCCTCTGCTGTTTGGCCCAGATTCCAACAGATCCATCCCGGGGTCGCCATGTGATCGTCTCTCCATACTGAGCTTGGAATGCTGCAACAGTAGACATTGTATTCTGAGCGAAGATTAGCTCAAGCTCTATGGACGAGAAAAGTTACCTTGTAAGTCCTAGCCATTTCGAGATAATCCTTCAGTTGCTGTATGTTGACATCCTTTCCGGCTATGACCATGTGCCGATGGTGTAAGAAGTATGCAAGGGGTAAGTCGAGGAAGAAACCGCCTCGATTGTGCCAATGCTGCCTGGTAGAGGGATGTGGGCGAGCCTCTGGGCGGGATGAACTCGGCAATGGCGATCAACCTCGACTCACCTCGTATACTTGGCAACAGTATATGCAAGTCCTCGTCAAGCTCCCTGAGTCGATTCTCAAACTCAGGCTGCTTGGCGCAACGAACCAGACATTCCAGTCTCGCATTGATGGCGGTCAACTGGTCGGATACGATTAGCTCTGTTTGATATGGGGCAATCTTACCATGTCTTTCTGGTTATCGTGACTTGCCGAGACCACATTTGAGGGCATTCTAGATTTGCTTCTTTGATTTCTGAAGGCAGCTGGAGTTGGCTCACTACGGTCGCTGGTGAACGGAGTGGGAGAAGCAGGAGTACGGGAGGAGAATGGGATCGGTGGAGCATCCTCTGCGCGCAGACTCAGAACAGTGCCCATATCCATGTCGTTATAGAGGATAGATTCGCCCTCCTGACCCTGACCATGAAAGGACGAGACTGCTGCTCGGAGTGATAACCGATGCAGCTCGACGGAGATATCATCGTCAACACTGTCGTCATGATCTTGGAAAGAAGATGTCACTTGGTCATCGGTTGAGGTTGAGGGATTGATGACGGAAGAGTCTGAAGCGCCAAGATCCTTGCTTCGTTGCCCGTCATCAGAGCCCAGAGCAGAGGTTTCATCGAGTGAGAGGTTATCAAGCGTGATGTGGCCCCGATATCCTGGTCTGAGGGTGGGCTGATCGGTCTCGCTATCACTGCCGTCCATTTCGAGAGTCTCAAGCAAACAAAATATTAGTGTTGAAAGCATGGGCGAGAAGCCAAATGCGGGCGCCGGCAATATTTCTCCTTGCGTGGCATTGACAAATATTCCCGTATCAATGTTGACTGACGTCATGTTTTCTCTTTTCTCCCACGTTTCAGATTTCAACAAACAAGTTGTTTACAAAAGGGTTGGGGGAAAAGATTCTTGTTTGCGTCTGTTTGCTGTTTGTTTGCTCTCACACACTTTGTTTGTCATTTAACTGATTGCTTGACCGCTCGACATGACTCCTGCCCAATCCGCGATATTGAAGCTGCTGGCCGACTATGAGCAGGCAATTGGGGTATGGGCCAGCATGGGAGATATCATGGCTGATGTCATCTTCAGCCTTACGATATCAAAGACAGCAACTCACTCGTTGCCTTCAGCGCCTACTGCCAGGGTGTTGCGGCCTCAACCCATACATCAAACAGACGACCTTTGGGGGAAGTCTCTGTCAACCAGAGTGGTCATACCACCAATGAGGTGGGTTTTAGGGTGGTCTTGAGGCGGTGAATAATGCTGATGTCATGACTTAGTTCTTTTGCTCGACTCCCAAACGATCTCGAACCAATAGACGCAAGGCCGACACTGTGGACCACAACCAACGTCAGCGAGGCTACCGAGAGGAGCAACAAAGCGACACCGCCCTGGTGAGTACTTGAATTACTCATCGAAGTCGTCTCACTTAGGTCCCTCAGCTCTTTGACTTCAATGAATTGGCTGAAGAGCTAGCCAGTGCGACTGAGGACTCGGATGAACACTCTGAAGCCGTCGTCAGAGTTAGGCGAGAGATTGAGGTTCTACACGAGGATTTTGTTGGCGAGTACATTCTGCTATCAAGCCGGTTGCATACTGACGTCCAGCATGTAGAAAGAGGCCGCCGTCTCAAAGGGCCAGGTCTACGATATCACCTTGGTGCAGCATTCTTCCTCAACCTTCCGTTCGAATATCTGGACCACATTCTCAATCGACTTGAGCCTGATGGTGGTTCAAAGAAGGAGCTTTCCTCTAAGGAGGTGGCGAAGCTGAAGTACTACCTAGGAAAAGCCAGTTTGTTTCCTGCGAAGACCCCGGATATCGTCGAATGGCAGAAGACGCATCAGTATTTGTTTGTACAAAAAGTGAGAGAGTAGTATAGAGGAGTATAGAGCAGCATCCTGTAGTCCTGAAGAGATCAAGGTGGACTCCTTATGCTTACACTACATCTTCCTACAATCGTCTGAGAGATGCGATATTAGATCATGGGGCGCACACCTCAGAGCGGTATCACACTTGTCTCAGGGGCACTGATATGTATGGTGGCGGCACTGTGCTCGTGAGGGTGGTTTGAGAGCAGTCCTGAACATAACAAAATCTGAACCCGCTGATGTCAAGGATAGGGACCACCAGACGTTGCGCGGGACCCGTAATTGCTGGTGAAAGTCCGTTGTGCTCTGATGTTTAATTGAAAGGGCCTGGGCAATTTTGCTTTTGCCTGGCGCCTGAAGCGTTCGATCGGACGCCTTGCTGCAGAAAGTCTCGGACTGTGATGTAGCGACCACTGTGAAGAGTGAAGAGAGCCATGAGACCCGACGAAAACGGAGAGGGGGAATATCCACTTCTGCGATATTAACAGTAAACGTGATTTCATCGCAATTACATTTTCTTGACATTTTTGCAATCAACAAACGAACGCAGCGACTTGCAGTGTTATCCATGCATGGCTTCTCCCGCACATTTATGATATCTCACCCAAAGCTTTTCTACATCTATTGGGCGACTGAATGAGGTGATGGGCGAGTTCGATAGCAGCAGGTGAATTCGTTTGGAACTGGTAAAATCAGCTAATCGGTGATGCAGCGGTTATCCAGCATACTGTACTGTGTAGCAGTGAAGCTGGGCCTCGCCTCTTCGTCACCTCAGAATGAACCCAGATTGGTAGCGGTCAGCCAATACTGCTCCATGATTCAGGCGTCATTCGCCTTATGCTCGGTGGGAATGTACGAGGTGTTTTCTTGTCGTGTCGAGAGCCAGCAAGGTGATTTAGACCGTCATGACTGAGGGGAGATTTTTGCGTCGGGAAACTAACCCACAATGCCATGGAAAGACGGCGATCTGAAGAAGCGGCTGGGTTTCTACGGCTTTGCCAGGCGGTTTAATCGACAGCTCTTCCCCTGCGGCAACGGAGACCAATGCCACATCGTCCGTGATCTCTGCCGATCTGCCCAGCGCTATGGCCATCCGAAGGGCGACTGCCTATCCAGCCGGCCAGGTTGGCGAGTGACCCGGCATAGATAGCACGAGGACAACATATTCAGTGATTCAGAAGAGGAGGCCATAAAGTACACTGGGCCTCTCGCTTTCAAAGTCGAAACCTAGGCTCTGATGCAGGCGTCTAGTGTTGATGTGCGGGAGGGGAGTGTCGTGTCGAGACGATGAAAGCGAGGGCATGTTGATACAGCTGGGTCCGAGTATTGCCAGTCTTGACACAGGCAGTTTAACAAACGAGATGCGACCGCCCAGGTGAGTGCAGAGTCAGCACCACCTCGGCGTCGAAAGCGACGTGTACAAACAATGGACAGGCCTTTTCTCACACACACCGATTCATCTCGGGTCATGAGTGCTCGTCCGGTCAAGATCGCCCTACAAACGCGCCGTTCCGGGAATCATGTCATTGATGTCCAGATTTTGGGCAATTGGAGACGCGCTCGTCCGATTTTTAACCGGGGTGGCCCCTCTTCGATCGTCCAATGGGTCTGTTTGGGTCGTAAGAATGCATGAGCCTTCCCTGGGCGGGAAGGGGACTATAAATAGCTACATAATGTACAAGACTGTCGTACCAGGGGCTTCCCCGCGTACCCAGGGGAGTCCGCAGACATCCCAACAGCCGGCCGATCCAGGCCATTCCAAAGGTGTGGGTGGGTGGGAAAACGCTGTAGAGTGACTCTGTATGATCTCGAGGGGTTGGAGCAGTGATATGTCGGGTTGAGGGTTCTATCTCCCTCAACGGAGCCCTAGATCACTGCTCTCTGCTGTCACGTGACCGACCAATTCTCATCTAGCGCTTCTCCGGACCACCCCGGAGCAGTGCGAAAATGTTGCACGGTCGGAACCAAGCACCTTTCAGTCAGTGGTAAAGACAGGTATGTGGTCTTTTCTCGCCAAGATTGCCGAAATCACCGAAACCACCCGTAAATTGATGATGGCGTGTTCGCAAGCACTATACGATCCAGCCGTGGAAAGCATTTCGGTCTCAATGTTCAGCGTCAATGGCTTTGCAATGTAGGAGGGTCTCTCAGCTCCCTCGTCGGGGAAGTCAACGGACAATTCATTACCTTGAACGTCCGAGAGTGCGCCTCAACCATGCATGTGACAACGCATGTGCGAATCGCACTATATGCGATGGCCAGAACGGCTTTGGTCCTCGGAGCTGCTCTCAGTACGGCCCTCTGTGAAAAGGGAGGAGCAGGACTGACGGTTGGAGATTCGACCAATAAATACACAGCGTAGGGCGGTCACCTGGATAGACTCCGCCAACATTGTCGAACTCACCCAGAACAGGTTTTGACTACTCAACTCATCATCGATCTTATTTTCAAGGTGATCATGTTAGCTGACGCACTTTACACTCCCACGATACTGATATTTGGCGAGTTCGACAATTGAGAATTTCCCTCAGCGCAATCGGACAGAATTCATCTTGTACGGAATGATTTATATCATGTGTCTGAGACGACATTCCAAGTGATACTGGTGGGTACATATCATGGCAGCGTCGATTGTTGCGGATACCTCCCTGTGAATAACCTCGATGGAGCCAATGAATCCATATGAGATCGGTCGGATGGTGAAGCGTTTTGTTGCAACCAACGGCGAGAGCTCTGTCTCGACCGCGAACTGTCTTGGCATGGTCTGAAGAACAAGAACCACCATCTTCGATGGAAGAGACCGTGGACCAGTGCACAAGAGTATATAGAGGTATTCCAAGTCTAGCGAGATCGATGCATTTCTTTCCCTCTAATTATAACACGTTTCGGCAAATGTAAGCAGATATGGTGAGCTCGTTCGAACTCGCCAGATCTTGTCTGTATTGGGTTTTCAAGGTCTTGGGATCTTCCATTGAGTCATTTTTAACGCCACAATTTTCGGTGCGAGTTCGAAACGAACTTGGCTGCTGGTGGTGTGGGTTGACTTTGTTTTGGGTCAGCCCTTAGTTCGATATCCGACCATTGTAGTCAGTTCTTTGACTTACCAAATGTTAAAGCCTGCCAGTTGCCAGCGAGGCAATGAGAGTAAACGCACTTTCTCCGGGATGAAGAAGCGATTGCAGCGCGTATCACTGACGTAATAGACTACGCTATCCCTTTGCTACCAACATCTCACTACAGTAAACAGTGCCAAGATGAGGTCCATGAGCCCAGACGCGGTGATCAAGATGGTGACTGCTGTGTTAGGCAGAGATCCAGGATCTCTGTTGGTGCCGGCGAGATTGACGATCGTGTTTTTACGGACGCGTGCACGATTGTGACTACGTCCAGACCTGGCGCTCCATGCGGTCATGCGCGTACGGGGCGGGCAGGTGAAGGTCAGGTCTACCGCCCGACAATAGGTGCGGGATGCGAATGTCACGATATGCTCTAAATTTTGACAGAGCAAGAATCGCTTCTCAGCGGAGTCATGTCGCACTTCTGGCGCCATGCACTGCTAGAATACAGGGCGGGTTTTTTTTTTTGATTTTTTTCAGATTCTCGAAAAAAAAAAATACCCTGAATTGACAATGAAGGGGTGGCGGACTGACAAGTCATCCCGCTGTGCTCGGTTTTCACGCGTCAGATCTAGTTCGCAGCCATGGAGCATTAGACGGCGGTCGCCATCTGAGTTGAACGTGGTCTGCTTTCCGCCTGAAGTGCTCAAATCCCGAGCTTTCTCACCCTTTACGCTGTGTGGAGATCCCGGGAAAATTTTTATTACACTTGTTTTCCTGCTCACTGTCGATTTGCCGTGCCTGCCGTCATCCTTGGTGTGGAAGTCTTAGGTGCACACCGTGAGAGGAATGATCGTGGCCACTCATGCCCTCTCATCGACTCATCGACTCAGTGACTCATCGATGTTCCCAGTCACCAACGATTTCGCCGGGAATTATCTGAGTCATGAATTGGTCAGACCGGCAAAAGCAAAACTGGCGTGCTGTTTTCAGGTACAGTTGCTACAGCACACGCGCTTACCGAGAGCCGAATCTGTAACCTCGCCAACAGTGACATCCGTAACCTCGCCAACCGTGACACAAATTCAGGCGAGTCTCTCGCCGGGATAGCGTTTTCTTCAGTAGGATATAGAGTAGTGCGTCGATTCGCTTACAAGATTATGACATACAGTGCATATAAACATACATGCATACCATTACGGACCAGTTCAGGGTTGCCCTGCCTGAGCCTTGGTTCGTACTGTTCTACAAATTCGCCAGATGTCTTCGGACGGCAGGGGAGTCTCATCCCTGCAAGCGGTGATGCGTGACGAATCATATTCTCGCGAAGAGAGGATCAATCCTGTTGAATACATCGCCTTGTACTTGTCTTCAATTGGACGAAACACCTACCCCCACCTATGAAGACAGCCCTAAGCTACGAGATATCAGTTGGACTGATAGAGAAATTGGCGTAAGTCACCTCGACTGAGTTATCAGATCAAGCCATCTTCTAGCTATCTTCTGATAGGACAGTAGCGCATGGGAGGGCAGTTGACATATGGCACTCCACCGAGGGTCAGTGTTAAGCGACGACGTGGCCTGATTGGCAAGTACAGTAGATTTTTGACGCTCACGGGACAATAGTGACCGACACCTCCGGAGTATACTTCCCCCAAGGGAGTCGCGTGGGCACAACAGGCAAGCAGCAAATTCGCTTGCTCGACAATCTTTGTTCCAAGCCGAGCCTGTGAGGCCTGATGAGCAAATACAAGACCTGTCAGGGGCAAATCTTGCTGCTGGTCGGTGGAGAATCTCCCCATCAACTATGTCCGCTTGCGCTTGGTTGTCCGGTCCTTCCGCGATGGCAAGGCTCCCTCAATGAGCTATTTCACCCCGAGCTATACAGCTAGGTCGACTAGAATCTGCCAGACGGACGTTGGAGCACTCTTCTTTGTTGTATGATACGCGGTGAGCCTCAGCATTCAGATGCAAGCGCCACAGTCGAATACTACCTTGTATCGCAGCTCGCGGAAGGGGCAGGCATTGTGCCTCGGAGCTTCCGTCGGGCCCACGCACAAGTGCGCGATGCACGGTAAGTCCAGACCCAGTGCTCATATTGGACGGAATTTGTACATACTTGCCTGTCTGCCAGGCTGCTCAGGTGAGACCCGCCACTGGAGCAAATAAATCAGTGACTGTCTACAGAGCAACAGCATAGTTTGCTACGACCTCGTCTGCCTCCGATTTGATCCGAGCAAAGTCTTGTAGAGTGATTTTGGTCATGGTCTTGTCCTCCGTCTTCTCCCTGATCTCCTCGACCATCTGTTCGACGAAGAGCTTCAAATCCTCAACAGCAAGACCGAGACTTTGTAGATCGACGAGGAGCTCCTTGACACGGATTTGAAGCTTCGTAAACGTGATATTGGGATGTTTTGTTAGTGTGGCTTGCAAGGATGCTTTCGCCAGGGCTACACGCCGGATGGAGACTGCGGACTCTTTGTAACCCAGCTCTACGCAAACCAGGTAGGCCAACACCGAGGTTCGGAAACCATTTGGCCCATGCTGTTATGATATCAGCGCTGATAGACGCTCTTGACGCCACTCACCCTCGCCATCGACTCGAGCACATCGACCGCAATAGCTGGGGTCTGCTGTTTGAGGACTAAACAGATCGTCGAGATGGCCGAGGCGACAGAGCTTCCCTTTGGATTGACCTTCAAGGGGTCGGGCATGGTGCAGATTGTTCCGACCAGATTGAGAACGTGCCTCTCGAGGTCCATGAGGTCGTCGATTTTGTCTTGCTTGTCTCTCAGCGAGAGCTCCTGGGACGAGAGGAGTGAGCCTTGGTTGGATAGTTCGTTTCGAAGATTCAGGATGATGTCCGCAGAGTGTCGTGAGTTTTCAGCCAGCTCGCGTTTCATACCCGCAATCTCAACTTTCAGCTGTCGATTCTCCATGTTCAGGGTGCCAATGTCCTGAGCGTGGCTGAGTCTTGCGTTCTCCAGCGATGTCTCGAGCTCCGCACATCTTAGGGCGATCTGCTGTTTCGCGACTCTCTCGGCTTCCAATGCCGCTTGCATCTCAAGGTCGTCCTCGTCATCCTCTTCTGCTGCGAAACCCAAGGAGATGTTACCGTACATCGTTTGATTGAGATCGTCGTCCTCGCCATCGTGGACATCTTCCGTGCCAGTTGGCTCCAGCTGCTTGACCATAGACGCTTCCGACTTCCTTGTCTCCATTTCCGTCAAAAGCCTTTCAGATTTGAGAAAGACTTGAGTCTTCCCAATTGCGTACTCGCCAGCCTTCAAGTGAGCGTTGAGGAATGTCGGGCTTGGCTGACATAGAAAACTAGGCGTGTCATTGAGAATTCTGACAACAACAAGCTACTTACCGCTTTTCGAATGTCTCTATGGAGATTCGTACAGGCCAGAGAAGCCTACCAATATGGAGAGCGTCCATCACGGACCCGCTTTTGATCTGCTTCGAAATGCTTTCGGTGTCCCACATGTTGTCTGTACGCGCCACAGCTATGAAAGCGCCCTCGGAGGGCCAAGGCCTGATGCAGAGTAGGGACTGAAAGTCACTGTCCTTCAGAGTATCCCGAAGCTTCGTAATTTCTGCTTGTAGAAGGGATCCGATAGGTTTGTTTGCGTTCGAGCCTCCAGATACCTTTTTCATTCCCTTGATACCACCAAGGATGGACTCATTGACGAGATCGCAGATGTTCACGGGCACGGAGAATCGATTCTGGTCGATCATGCCCGCAGATTGATAAGACACTGCGGCATTCCAGTGCTGGACCATAATGTCTGTCGGGTGTTGGGCAGCTCTGTCTGATCTGACACTGACCAGCTGCTGCGTGAGAAGATTCTTTGCGAACTCCAGATCGGCGTCGGGGCCCCGGGGCTTCCGGGAGCAATCGTTGAGGCTCTGCATGATGGCTCTCACAGCTTTCACACACGACAGATTGGCGAAATCTGGGAGCGGTCCAGCCTCCATGATACCTTCTCTCAACATAGTTTCCAGGTGGGTCTGTTTGTGATGCCTGATTAACGCGTGCAAACGGTCTATAGGGACACTTACGGCCATCATCTTGTCCAGGTACTTTATCAAACCCTCCCTCAGTGATGACCTGGCAAGACTAGTCTGTACTCACAAGGTCGTGCAACTCTTCATTCAAGACATTGATCAAAAACTGGTCCAAAGAGTTACCGCTTGCGAAGTCTTCGAAGCCGCACTAAGAGTGGACAACACCTCAGAAATGCCTCTTTCTCTTCGCGATTGACTCACCATGTCGATGAGATCGATTGAGAGCAGATTCACCTCTGAGGTATCTGCAGTCTCCCGACTGTGTCTCGACTTCAAAGCAAGCTGTTCGTTTCCCACCGCCAACAGGTACTGCGTGTAAGTCAGCCTCGATTCCTGTCGATCCGATGACGTCTCACATCTAGCACTCGCTTGTATAGGGCTTGTGCTAGGCTTGCACGAGCTATCTCCGACTCTGAGGGCGTTCTTGGCAGTAGCTCTCCGCCAGCTTCGCGGAAGAACATGGATCGCTTCAATCTCTCCTCACTGACCCCGAGGCACCTGGCAGCTTTTGAGACCGCGGGATGGTTCTTGCCCTTGATCATCGAGAGGTGAATCACACTTCCAAGCACCGTGACAATCTTGGCGGCTTCCTCGTTCCCCAACACGATTTTCAAAGTTGTCACTGTTTCCGCCCAGTTGGCCTGGAGATTGTCTTCAGAGAAGCGGGATGGGATGCCGTCCGCGTCATCCGGGAGTTCGAGATGCGGATACAGAGCCCGTGAAGCGTGGAGCTGATGGAGAACCGAGAAATTGGACTCATGTTGATGCCAATGAGTTCGTCCCACCCGTGAGCGCTCGAAGGCCGAAATAGAGAGCCTAAGAGCTTTAAGCTCCATCGATTCAGTGTTGAAAGTGTAGGAGATGGTCTTAAGGTATCGAGAGGACTGCGGATTCAGAGAGGTCATCGCACTGCCAAAAGCGTCGAGAAGATGTGCCACACGATCCGATAGCTCCGCAGCATGACTCATGTATTCGGCGTCTTGGAGCTTCATCTTTTCACCCAGGGCGTTCATCAGGTGCTTCATGGCGGTGGTCTTGCCGCTGCCCCTGTGCGGCATTCAGTGAACCGAAACAAAGTGAATGGACAACGACCTTACGATTCTCCCTGGGTCAATATTGTTTGAGACCTCCCTGTTGCCTGAAGTCTCGTATATGCGGTATCGGCCATTGAACTGATTGACTGGGCTGACAAACTGGCCACATGCCCATCTTCCAGGCCAACAGGCCTCAGTGCGATCAACAGGATAGTCAGCGATGGGGCTCTTACGGAAAGACTTCCGCAGGACTTACATATATATCTCCAACCTTGGATACCAGGTCCCCATCAACCCATCGTCCATGAAGAAGATCTGCAACTGAAATGGTCGTGAGCGGGTCATGTTCGTGTAATTAGACGTCTCTCACCAGCTCTTTCATCAGAAGGTGCGGGGGTCAACTTTGTCAAATCCAGGAGCGGCATGATAGAGTATGGAATGAAGTAGAGAACAAAGGAGGACGCTTGCAAACAAAAAGGAAAATTTGTAAATCTAGACCCAATGCCACATGCGTTATAACGCCGAAATTGATTCCGTCACTCTATCACATACGGCCTTGTTTTCTTCTCCCGATCATTCCCGTTTTCTCATCACTTTACTTCTTCCGATGCCCTCACGAACCAGATCTAAGCGCCTCAGATCAATCTCACCGGGGTCAACAGTAGCTTCCACTGTCACCGTACGCCGTCGTGTAGGCCGAGGACGCTCGGCAGCACCTAGTTCCGTCTACACCGAGACCCCTCGACCCGCTGCTCCTACTCCACCGGGACTCAATATCTTAACCTCCCTCTCTGTCTCTCAATTTTGGCCATCTGATCGCAGATTCGTGGTGGTAGATGATGTCTGGGCTGAGGAAGAGCTTGCATGGCTCCGATCTGAGATTCAAGTGAGTTCATTGCTTTAATCGATCTTCTTCAACGGCCCTCCGGGCTGATGAAGTATAAAGACCATTGGAGGAGTCATTCAAACCGACCCGATTCGAGTGACGATGATGGATTACCTCGTCATCCCATCGCCATCAGAGGAGCGAATTCCTAATTCTGGGCTAGGTCCGCGACTCAGCCTGGGTATCACTCATCCTGAGCTCTCCAATCTTCAACGAGTCTCCCGACGCTGGATCAAACTCTGCGTTTTCCGGGGACAGGTATTAGATCCTGACGGACCTGTGGGGGACATGTCCGGTGTTCAACCCCGGGCTGGACCTTCAGGAGACCCATCATTATTGTCTACCACAGCCACTGCTCGACATGCAAAGTCTCCCCTCGACTTCGCCCAACGCGAGCTAGCGCATGATGTCCTGGAAGCCATGGATCGCTTTGACTGGTCACAACGAGGTGCCAGGACCAAGTTTTATGCCCATTTCGATGTCGAAGTACGTCAGATTGTTGGTGACATGTGTCAATACTGATGTCAAGATCAGCAGCCCCGACAGAACCAGAGCCTTCCCATGCACATTTCAAATTTCATTGGCCGTAACCTAGCCTTGTTCGAGCACGCCTGTCCCGCTTTCGCTGCCACTGCAGTTCCCGGAAGGCGTGGCGCTGGTTTGCATACCAGACGTCGGCGCAAGATGGACGAGGGTACATCCCCGATCGCTGAGATCAATGAAGCGACACCTCCCCCAAGCCACGACGCCGGTCCGCCAACTCCCAGATCTCTTGCCTCCTCGCGGCACACGGCTGATCCTTCGACGGCTCGACTAGAGGACTCGGAGGCATCCGTCAGTACATCAGACTTCCAGTCATCCTTTGACGATGATGGGGGCTTTGCGGGTAGTGACAGTGATTATGATCATGATTCGGCATTCTCAACTTCAGATAGCACCCGGCTTATACGTCTTGAAGATATGGTCTCACAGTCGCCCGAGAAGTTGCCACCTGCCGCTGGATCTCCGATCTTGACTGCTGCATCTGATCGTTCAGAATCTCCCGGACCCATACCGGCACCCCTCTCAGTGAGTGACCAGTGCCTCTTCTTCAATGCCCTCCAGCTTACTGTACATTTGCCATCTCTCAGCATGAAACATCCCCGAATCCTTCGGAAGTGATCCAGCACGCTCTCGGAACCTCATTAAATACTTCACAGATTGCAAGTGTCGGGCTCTGACTTGACCGCTGTAGCTGACCGCATATCTGCTCACAGTATGACTTGAGGTTGTGGTGCTCCTCTGTGGAGGCTTGGGCCAAGGCACCTGCTAATGCTGGACGTTCAGCGTTCCCTTCGTTGTCATCCTGCCAAGCCCTTTGCTCATCTTTGGGCCGGCTCCCTCCTGATGAGACTTCCGGCGAAGAAATATCCTTTGTGGCACCCCGATCCGTGGATCTGGTTTCAGACTTATGGGTTCTCATGCGTTCGATCTTGCAGCACAAGCTCTTCCAGTTCGACCATAGGACTGACCATAGGACAGCCAGATCTGGCATTCAATCGAGCAATTCTGACAAATCTTCAAGCTCTCGAGCCATCCGAATATTGGATCAGGAACCACTTTCAGTCTACCGAATCGCTACACAAGATGATCAGTACAGCAATGTCCCCTTCTCGCAGGTGACACTCAAATGCCAAGCCTGGCGAGCGATCGTAAGCTCACAAAATTGTCAAATCAATTCTGACCAGTTGTAACCAGACTGTCTCCGCTTTGGACATCCCTCGTCTTCTGGCTTTCGAAGTCAACAGTATCTGGTATGGTATTGTTATCGATCCTTGCGACCGAGTGATCACATGCTTTGATCCCTGCAGCCAGACAGTGGACTCTGGTGAAGATATCTCACAGGTAATGCATCCCCTGCATGGGACCTACTGACTTGGGATAGCTTGTGATGGACTTCTGGGACGATGCTCTATTCGAAGCTGGCGCTGAGCCCAGCTCGTCGGCGTTCACTACCTCGGTACAACTGGTGAGAAACTCTCTGTTTCTCTTGCTGAAATATTGTCAGCTATCTCAACCTTTCCAGCCCGAAGTATCCTCAGCCGCAACGCTTGCATGGTTGATCCATGTTATTAGCCGCTGGGACGAGAGTATATCAATCCCGGCTCCGCTCGAATACGAGCGTGAAGATCGTCTACGTTACCTTCGATCCCTCATCCAGAGCAGTTTATGGGATATTGCGGCTAATGCTATACCAGGTCAAGTTGATACATATTTGTAGGAGATCGCGCTAGAGAGCTCGGGGGATCCACAACAGTACTTGGTATCGAAATTAGCCATGAGTACTCAAGGGAATACGACAGGGTTTCAACATAGCTGCTTTAATGCTTTTTGTAATGTCAACGGGGGAAAGTCGCTTCTTCTATATGAGGAGATCGAGTACAAGCATAGCATTGTGGTATACTGTATGCACGTTTCATCTGCGGCATATCCATTCCTTCAGAGGCTCCGGGAAGGAACCATGTAGTACGAGTCAGTAGCTCGATTATCATTGTGTCCAGTAACGCCTGAATAAAAGCTGCAGATAAATTCCGGTGGACTCAGGTTTTCATATGTGGATGCTTAACTGATTATCAACGATCGATATCAATTTGAACTCTCAAGAATTCGTCCGCTTTCGATTCTCTGCTATACGCAAGGAAATCGTTCGGCTGCCCACAAGGCACTTATAAACTCATATTCGCACTGCTCCGAGCACCTTCCTACTTGATCGCTACCGTACCAGCCAACGAGATGACAGACGATAACAATCTTCTTTTGATGCCACGAATCGAAATCAACACCGCTTGGGCTGTGTTCCACTACCATCAAGCCACTCATGCAGCTACAGGAATGACTAATCTCCCTAGTCCTGCAAGCACTAACACAGGTCACAGGTGCAAATGGACGAGATGAGAAGATGGATTGCAGCTAGCTTCCTGCAGCGGCATACCTACATAAAATGGCATAATGGCGTATGAACTACTTAGGTTGATGATACAGTATGCTACAATTCCGGTTTCTCTGTACTCTCAAAAATCGAACGAGATATTGGTAGTTATGAGGACGATTGAATACAGTTTTGGCACTCTACATAAACTTTATGCCGAATTGCGTGACGTTCCAGAAATTGTCAAATCTGGTGGACGTCGGCCGAATCTTTGGAAGTTTGCGAAGAGATCCAAATTCATCGAAATTCACACCTGCATTTTCCTGAGTCGTCAATGATAAATTCTTTTTTTCCTTGCTTTTACAGGTGGGTGAAAAAGTGCCGGGAAGAGATGCTTGTAGCGCATAACTGAACCCTCGCTTCTCCTTTTTCATAAACCCTGTACTGATTGGTATTTTCGCCACAACCGTGGCTATGCATTCTCCGAACCTACCGAAGGCTTGAAAGAACATTGCCCTCAGTGGACTGCGCTGGGACATCGCAAAGCACGCTCGTCTCGATTAATGACGTGATTTGAGAGGTATCGCCATGATGCCATAGTGGGAGCCAATGCCCAAGCACAACTAGCTATTCGACATAGAAAGCGAAGGCGCAAATCCCAATGTGTTTTGAAGGCGTTGATCAAAACATCGATCAATGATCAAAACATTGATCAGTGATCAAATCTTTGATCATGGACGAAATATCTAATCGTGAACCAAAAAGTCAATCAATTATCAAAGCTTCGGTCATGGACGGTAATTTATCAAGACCCAATGAGTAGTGATTTAAACACCTATGCCTTCCTGAGCAGGGATATTCTACGCAGGAGGAGCGATACCCGGAGAAGAGCTGTGCGATAACAACACTTATCAACGCACCTTGTGCACCTTGTGCTAACAGAATGTTAGCGACCCGTTCCGGATTCGCCTGGGTGTGTAACAAACATTTGACGGTCTGCATCTCAAGTGGACGATCAGCTCAACGATAGATGTTCTGCGCCGCCCAGACAAAAAGTTTATCGTGAGTGACTGCTAGATTCTGTGTCATCTTGCGAAAATCGAAAAAAGGTTGATCAAAATGATAATGGAAAGGAGACTGATCGTTCCTCTGCAAAATGAGGTGGCTCTTCTTTTGCAAAATGATATGGCTAACCCTTTTTGCAAAACACGACTAACCCTTTTTGCAAAAAACGACTAACCCTTTTTGCAAAAAACGACTGACCCTTTTTGCAAAAAACGACTGACCCTTTTTGCAAAAAACGACTAACCCTTTTTGCAAAATCATGAGGTAGCGCAAGAAGCTGTGAAAATTTTGCAAAGGAGGTTAGGGTGTCGTTAAAATCATCAGGTCAGAAAAATTGATAGAGAACTGACTGTCTTCTCCCTTTCGTATCCTGGTTCGCGAATCAAAACGATAGACGCACGAAGTCACCCACCCACTTGCTTTGCTCCTGCATAGTGGTCGCAGAATCAGGATTCTTGAGTCACGGTGTCTTGAAAGGCACTCAGAGTTGTAATGTTCTGTGCATCCATAATCCGTTCAAACGTCAGTGAGATGGTCCTCGCATGCGTCCGCGAGGTCATACATTGCCTTAAGTGAAGCAACATGCGAGCTAGCAAAGACAGCATCTGTGCTCAGAGGATTGCGTGTACTTTTACTTCCCTGGCCTCGCGCAGATGATAAACATTCTGATGCTGGGGCAAGATCAAGCAGTCCTCGTTCACCTCAGACTGACATCTAGTATGCGGTTTTCTTCCATGATGTTTGCCGTTGTTCTGTATGGGAGTCATGGGGGAATTACTGCATGCTGATTTACAGGGTGTGAATCTAGAACTTTCGTTTGCGTGTATAATTTTCTCGACACTGATCAATCGATTCGACGCTGATCGATTGTTTCGACAACCATCATTTAATTGGAGCACATTCGATTGTTTCGATAAAGACCAATTGTTTCGACAATGATCAATTAATTGGACAATGATCAATTGTTTCGACAATGATCAATTGTTTTGACAATTATCAATTGCTTCGACAGTCATCAATTGTTTCGACAATGATGCTTGTTATACAACGTTGATGACAAATGTCAGGGGATTCCATAATGACTCCTCTGTGTCCATTTTGGTCCAATTGTGTTAACGGCCCAAGTCATCGTGCAATCAATTCCAGCGATGATGCATCGTAAGAAGGTGAGCTCTCGGGATCTGTCGGGCTTGATCTCGTGAGGCGACAATACTTTTGATCTTCCAAGGCATGTGGTGCTTGCATGTACAACTACGTGCACGAATGGACCGTTCAAGATATGGTGCTCGATTGCCTCCACTTCATATCCTCAGATCTATGGCGGGACACCTCTGAGACTGAAATGGGTGAAATTAGGATCTGACCTACTGCCAGTGGGATGTCGGATTGTGAATGATGTCGTACTGACTATTCACCCTCTTTGTACTTCAACTCATCTAGGTCATGATGGATTCCGCGAATTGCTACTGGAAGGAATGGCCATGACACGCTGTAGGTAAAGTGTATATTATAGGCCGCTGTTCGCGCATGAGAGAAAGTGGTATAGTAGATACCTCTTTGATCACATTGAGCATTAGAAGGGAATGGAAGACTCACATTGGTGGGTGACGCAAACCACCGGCGCGTGCGGGGCTTCGACGTGCAGACGTCAACACCTGGCATAGTCATTGTCAGCAGTGTACCAAGGCAATCGATGTGCGTGAAGTTTGCCAGGTGTTGAGCGGCGAGGTGTTTGGCGTCCTTTTTCTTTCTACCAAACCGCCTTGATTGAGTTCGCTATTATGAAATATTGCTCTGCTCAGACCTGCTTCATGATGAGGATGGCGTTTGCTCACCAGAATACCATTTGACAAAATGCTATGCAAAAAAGACATGCTAAGTGCACCATCGTCGACGATACGACTTCCTCAAATATCAATTCACCCTGATGCCTTCTTGCATGATTTGATCTTATAGAATGACTTTCAGTAGGCGGGGCATACTTTCCGCGCAATAAATCCTGATTCCGTCTTAAATCATGACTAATTATTAAAATTGTCCATCATGATGAAAAAAAGAGATGATTGATCATTGTATTCATCTGGGATTATTTATTTGATCATTGATCATCGTATTGATCTGGGATTAATTATTTGATGATTGATCTTTGTATTGATCTGCGATTATTGATTTGATCTTTGATCATCGTATCACTACGAGGTTGTTCAATTGGACATTAATCCTTGATCACCTTTTGATCATCGATCAATGTAATGATGCAAGCCGAACGGAGTCAGATCGAGACTCGAGACTGGACGTACGCATATGTCGCGCAAAATCATGAGTGAGTTCGCTCAAAGCCTGGAATGAATAAAGTGTTTCTCTATGTCAACACTTGGGATTGTGTCTAGTGTAGCACCTCAAATAATCATTCAACGCCGATGTCTGTCGTGTCTGAGCATTGGATCTCGATATTGTGTAATTCGCGTGTGAAAGTATAGAAGGATTATAATAAATTGATGGCGAGATTAAAAAACCCACGGAAGCAAATACTCATGAATCCGACAATATACAGCATGATTCACCCTCAATCAAAACTCTGATTTGAAGCACCGGTTCAGAAAGCATAAGGATAATTATAGATCGATGATAAGCGAGATTTGGAATGGGATAGACGTGACCTTCATGTTCCGGGACGGGAGCTGGTCTCTTAGGGCCGTGCAATCAAACACAGATGCGCATCACTCCGGATGCAAAAGGTTACGCTCGCTCGTGCTGAAGATCTCACCAGAATGACTGGTGCCGATTTCCAGACTCAAGCCAAATTCATTCGAAAAAATTGCTGTGTTGGAGAGCCCGCTACTTCGCAAAGCTGACTCTTTCACATAAGGTAACTCTTTCCCAATTCGTAATATATGAAGCGTGCTCTATGGCGCGTGATACCAGAAGCGCTATATACATGGCTAAATACGCTCATAAATTCACAGAAGCATCCTGAGAAGCTGTTACATATGTATCCCGCCCGAAAGCATTGCTGATGACAGATTTGGTTGGATCCAATTTAGAAAGCGGGCAACGACAGCGGAAGTCCGCATAAAAGCAGAGGGTCCTATGGCAGCGAGGACATTGGACATTCAACGAGCGAGGTGACTACCAGTACGACGAAGCGCCAAAGTCCCGTATTGAAAAGCAGCATAGCAGTCAAATGTCAAATCACCAAATCGCAGAATCCTCCGAAATCATGGCCATTTGAAATGCTCTTCCCCAACAGCGGAATTTCCTAACAAATACTAAAATTCGCTGTTTCTGTCTCATGCGCATAAAGCCACAATATTTGTGCAGCTTCAGACTCCTTGTCCCAAGTGAACATCTTACATCCCACTGTGACCCTTGATAGGCACCTGTGTGTATCCCAGGCTCGTCCTGTCCGCTCGAAATGAGATACGTACTGTGTGGGTTTCCGTACAGGTTAGTCATCTCCATGTTTGTATCTGCTGTTCAAAGTAGTTAGGCACCATACGGTCAGGTAAGAAAAGAGTGCGAGTGATTTTTCTGATTATATTTGGCGAATTGTGTGCATTGAGTGGCTGACCGAGATTGAAGGCCATTACCGTATCTTCAATTACTCTACGAAAGCCGAAGGTGACGCGCCAAAGGGTTAGATGTTAGACGTTTTTCGTAAACAGTATTTGCAAAAATTTTGCAAATTTCGCTATCCGAGACGAAAAATCCGCCGGCGTGTAGTGTTACCTGAAGTCCTTGAGACTTGACTTTCATTTTTACGGGAGACAGTACCCGAGCACGCCGTCTGAGTCTGCTGTCATTATGATCTTTGATCCATCAATATTGATCTCATGCAAGGCATAAAGTCACGTACGAAGCAGAGGACTGCCCTCAATCCATGGTTTTTGACCAAGAGCGTAGGATGAAGCTGTTCACGACCAGGGAGATGGCCATGGGTCCGGGCGCCTGAATTACCCGTGGGAGGCAAGCTCCATCAATCTTACAGCTTGCTAAATACGCCAGGCTGCGCTAAGCTATCAGAGCATGGTATCTTGAAGATAGCCCTCTGACCCAGCACCCTTCACCGCCCGCCTGCTGATATACAGTAAAGCATGAAAATTGCATGGGCGTCATGAACAGGGCGTAAGTGGCTTGTCGCTACCCACAAGCCTCGTTCTCGTCATTTTCGGGGAACCCCTCTACCTCAGCAGCAATGTGCCTAGCCTTTCGTTTCTCCAGCAACTCAGCCAATAGCGCATCGTCCTCTAGGTCCTGCCTCCTTCTCTTGTGGCTTCGGTGTATTTCCTTATAAGCAACGGTCAACATTGACTGCAGGTCTTGCTGGCCCTTGTAGTCTCTCCAGAGCTTCTCATCTACTATCCTGCGAGAGGTACCGAGGTTCTTCCGCTCCTCCTCAACCTCCTGTTGCGATCTCTTGAGCTGTGATCGCAAAGAAACAATCTCATCCTCTTTGCTCGACATGGCAGACTCGAGTTCCTCGATCGTACGCTTTTGATTGACGATGTCTGATCTACAGTCTTGTAGACACTTTTGTACCTCCTCGAATGTGGTCTGATGGCGCTCGACTGACCTTTCCAGCTCGAGGATATAAGCATCTCTCTTGCGGACCAAAAGCGATCGGTGATGTAAAACACGTTCCAAGTGACCAATCTCCTCGAGTCGCTGTTCCGAGACTGTCTGTGCCCGATTTAAATCGTTTTGCAGAGATTTACTAGTCGTCCGCATCATATCTTTCTCCATTGACAACGTTTTGCAATCCAGTTGGACCATGGCATGTAGGCTGTGTGAGTCCGCCAACCGTCCTTCGATCTCTTCGATTTTTGATTTCCGAGCTGCCAATTTGCGAGTGAGACATTTGGTTTCCGCTTCCAGCTCCCTGACTCTGTACTCAACGAGCTCAGCTTCTCCTTGTTCGTCTCTTCTTTTCTCCTCGTAGGAGAGTGCCAAATCCTTGAAATGGGATGCCGACGAAGCGACTTCTTCATAGCGCTTCTCCTGTGTTTGCAACTTCTTCTCCATTATACGGAGAATGTTGGTCTGATGGATCCTTTGACAATCTTGATCCATCCGGTCCTCATGCTGGGATTCGACTATTCGTTTCAAGGAGTCGTTGTCTCTCTCCAACCTCCGAATGGCCTTCCGGCTGGGGTGCTCTTCCAGGGCATCGACATATTCCAGCAGACGTGTCTCCCGTTCACGCAGTCGAGAGACGAGGAGGGAGTCGATGAGTGTCTGGGTATCGGGTCCAGGAGAGGTCCAACGTGGAGGAAGGCGAGGAATAGGTGACGGACGCTGTGAGCTACTTTCCGACGAAGAACGTGCTTCTGAAGAGACCTCCTCATCCTCCACCGCCGGGGGCGACTGCTGTAGGATACCCCGGGGGGTCTGAGAAGCTGATCAGCTAAAGGAACGTCGTGGAGAGAGTCAGACTCACGGATGCATCTCTTCCCGAGGGCGATGGTGACGTAGGGTCGTGAGTATAGTCCATCGCAAAGTTGTCTGCTCCGGGGTCCTGTCCAAAATCGACAAATCCAATAGCGTCTGAATCGTTCTGGCCAAAATCTAGAACATCATTGTCGAAGTGTCCACTACCGTGCCTCGGCATCTCCATGCTGGTCTATATAGTGTCAGTGGGATAGAGAGTTCGTCTTCGCCTCACTTACGTCCAAAAGCTGCTTCTGCTTGCGCAACGCCAAGGGAATATCCCATTCGTAGAGGGTCTTCGCCATCTGTCGGAGATTGATTGCTGGTGCCAGGTCGACGCTGGCTTGGACCGCCAGGGTTCCATCCTCATTCCGGCGCCTGGATCCCATACGCTGGGTTGCGGTAGTGCGAAGCAGTCTGTAGATACGACTGCGAGTATTGGATGCGCGCTGCTTTAGATCTGCTTCTTTCTCCTTATCCCAGTCGATTGAAGTAGCTGGATCGTGCGGAATATGTGCCCCACCTATCTTCCAACCAACGAGGAAGACAGATATTCGACAGGAGTTCGCTTGGCGGGAGAAGTGACAGGTCATTCCTTTGACATGCTGTGGATTTGACTGTTTGCAGGATTCGCAGACTGGGAGGAGGAGGAAGTGATTGCCTTCTTGTCTGGAGACGTAGACGGTCTCAAAGTAAGTGACTTTGGGCCGAAAAGTCAGACACCGCAGCTGCGCATGGCTTCGGCCTGTCAGCCGGTATAGAGTACAGCCAACTCACTGCCAGCCATGCCTAGCCGTGTATTCCCAGCCCAGCTCGCGTAAAAACTCATCGTGGGCGCAAGTGAAGGCTCGAAGCCGGCAATTCGGTTCAGGTTGTCGATCGGAGGCCTGCGAGTCGTCTATAGACAAAGGGCCGTCCATGGATTCCAATGTGGAGTTACTAGTTCTGGGATGTCCTCCTTCGGTGGATCTTCCAGCATCGGACCGGCTTCGATGATTCACATCCCGTATCCCACTTCGATCATCGTCCCGATCCGAGTCCACTTCCATCCCACTCGAGCGGTCCGCCGAAGCATCTTCATCCACCCTACTCTCATCGGCCACAGGCGAGGATTCTTGACCGGATGCGTTGAGCCTATTGATCTCTCTCACGAACGAGTCGTCCTCGTACATGTCGGACATGCTTCAGGGCGGGCCGATCGATGAACTAAAGGATGACCGGGATAAGACTCGCAGAGTGGGAGCTAGCGCAGATCAGACCTCGATCTATCGAGCGAGAATGAGACTACGGGTGTCGTATCCTTCGTGAGCGAATGACCCTTGGATGGACGGTCGGACGGGGGTTGACTAGTATGAGGGAATAGAATGTAGTGATGAAATGAAGCGTTTTCACGGTTGAACCCGGTCCAGTGTGGATGACACAGCGAAATGCGGTGTGTTGCTTGCGTCAATGATCTTCTGGTCACTGGGGTCGTCTGGGGGCCTTTGCTGGGTATATGATGAGGACGGTAGGGAGACGTAATAAATGCTAAGATGACAGGATTCAAGGGTTGAATAGATGTTGACTTCGGCGCTGTGGAGCGATTATTGGACACGGAAGCATTTTTAGTCGCCACGTGACTTTGTTTGCGGTCTACCCGGCATGATTGCTCAATGCATCGAGCGGCCGTCGCCGACATACAGTCGTCCACCGCTTTTCTGTTTATTCGGGTCACAAGGCTGCTGATGGCGCGAATTGCTACTCCGCGGTAGACAGCCGGTATGGACCACGCTAGAACTCAGTTGAGGGCTTTAGACTATCCCTGATCACAAATTCCATCGTCTCAGAAAAGACAAAGACATTCTAGACTTCACAAGTATCCAGATTGATGTATCCCGCCTGCGGAAGCTGTTTCTCACCCTCAATGGAAAACTGTACATAGAACTTCTTACTGGTTCACTATAGACTACAGTCGCCATCATCTTGCGTCCCAGTGGCATTCATTCTCCAATACCGTGGCTCAAAGCCCCACGACAAATACGGACCATACATGTATAATATGTGTGTTGATCACTGACTCTGATGCGAGAGACTACTTCTTAGAGCAGCAACATACTCATGCGATCGATTATGACGGGCTCAAGACTCTACTAGTGCCACTCGAAGTCCCATCGTGTCATCAATCACTCTTTCCCTTGCTGAACCGAGTCTACCAACGGCCTCTCAAGTCTTTTCTGGTCCTTGCGGCGATGTTGGTCAATGCCGTAGTATCAATGCAAGCGGGGTCATACATGGCTGAGAGGAAAAGACGCAAAACAATGAGAGAGTCAGCTGGGGGGACTTTGTCTGTCTTGACTCTTCCTCGGCGACCTGAAATAGATGAACAGAGTGAAGCAATATCTTTTTGCTCCCTTCCTTGGTGTCTCTCTTTCGCTCAGATCTCTCAGGTCTCACGAATTCGACCGGTCCTGTACGCCGTAGGAAGGGTCTTTGCAGATAACACACCCCCTCATCACTGCCTTTGTCCACTTTCCTTACACCATCAAGCAGCCTGACCCATGACGACCCGATGTGACAACTTTGCAAGCACATTCCTAGCCGAGGCCGCCACGGAGGGTGTTCTATTCCGGCACTCGCACTACATTGATCACGCCGAGGCCGGCAAAGAAATGATTGCAGGGGGTACAGCCCCCAGCTGAAGGTAAAAAAATATGGATCCTTCACATCAATGTTGTCGAGATAATACAGTATGCACAAATACGATCTCGATGCGTCTGTGGTCTCCAGGACCACTACGTGAGGCATAGGCCGTCTTACATAAAGATCTCCATTTACAACGCGTCACCTCCAAGTAATCGCATGATTTCGCGTCGCTCCATTTCCAGCTCGGCGTCATTCGCATTCAATTTTGCAGCTTCGAAGTCGACCAGGTACAGCCTTGAGCCAAATGGCCGGAAACTCGAAGTTTTGCTGACATGCGCGTTCCACTCAAAGGGGTCGCTGAACGCCGTTGACGGCAAGGTCTCGGTCAAAATGTGCCGCAAGGACGGGTCTACATGTTGGATACGTGCACCGTGCAATGCTTTGTACTGAGCGATAACCGACCCACTGCAAGATGTGTCAATGACGTTCAGAAGCTAAATCCGACTCACCATTGGTAAGCAGTCGGAGCGTGACATAAATCGGGACCAAGCCTTTGCAGCAACATTGCGTATAGTTTGATGATCCTCTGCTCTGAGTGCTCCTCATTGTCTGGATCGAAGGGTCGAAGGGTCGTACCGTCTTCGTCCAGACACATACGAGCGCGGTATAGCCCATAGATGACGGGGACATTGACTGCTAGCCCTCGCATTCGGATCTCTTGACACACCGCGACTTCATTGTGAATTGATTGCAGGGCCTCGGCAGGATCATAAGACCCAATGTCGTCTTTGACAGCCAAGTCAGGCAGCGAGAACTTCGCTGCAAGCTTGAAGGGGAATTGCGACGGAGTCGTCACAGATTTAGAAGAGGCGGTGTCGAAGGAGCGGTCAAGAATCGGGACATCCACATCATGGTCGTGATCATGTTCGCCCACGTCAGATCGGTCGTCGTCGATTTGGCTCCTCGCAATGGCACCAGGATTAACTGCATCCGTGACGCCATTGCCGCGAAAGGAATGGCCCCAGGTGTCCATAGCGACGGTGCTCCACAAGCGACCATGACCGATGTTCAGCTCTTGACCAGAACCCAGACAGAACCAGGGCTCCTCTACCATGTTGGCACTTGACGGAGAAGAATTGCGGATGCGCCATGACCCGAGGTTGCCCATGTCAGGTTCGGCTGACTCAAAAACTGCACCTGAGAGCTCGACTTGTATGGCGCAGGAAGGAAGCCTGACGGCAGTCACCCGCGCCTTCTGTTGTGTTAAACATGCGAAGCACATCGAGAAGTTTCTGTTGACTCACAGCAGCAAGGGTGTTTTCCAAAGAGATGGTGTGAGCTTCTGAGTCGCCAGAGTCATGCTGTAAGGTCAAATGCTCCAGTATGGGTATCCCATTTCGTGGCCTCTTCGACTCTCTCGCATCCAATGAATCAGAAGCGCCTTGATCGAATAGCGCTTGGCTGTTTGACTTGCCAGGCGGAGGGACTCGATGACTGGTATCCGCCGCCGGGCCCGCCGAGCCCGCCGAGCCCGAGCCACCTGGTTGGTGGCCGAATTGCGTTGCTCCCAAGGTGCTTGTTAGCTGCCCGGGATTGACTCCTCCAAGGGGATTCACGACTCTGGCCTGTTTAGTAAAAGCTAAATACCCACCTTCGGGAGGGTCAATTTTGGGGCACAAGCTGAGAGCGATAAGAGTGGAAAGAAAAGTCGGGACCGGTGGATTGTCAAGACTTGATGGAGTGCTGGGCACCCATTCATATCCTCCCTCCAATATCTTGCGATACGAGCCATCGAGCTGATTGAGATCTGCATCCTCTCGGTGAACTGGTAGCGACACAGACATCTTGAATTGCTCGTCTAGTTGAAGCACCAGCATGCGATCCCAGGTACTGATCACAACTCGACGGGCTTCATTGATGTGCAGCTGCGCGTAGCCCTGAGAAAATCAGCCTCGAATAAGAGTCGAAGCCACTCACCTGCTCCAGGACCTTGCAAGCAGTCTCGAACTCTGTGACACTTGTAGAAGCTGGTCTCCGACCCCACAATATCTCTCCTTCTTTCACGGAATACGATCGTGACGCATCGTGCCTGTTGCCCGTCAATGCCAGAATGGCATTGAAGACACCTTCGGTGGCGACTAGGAGTCTCTTGACCTCCAACAAATATGCCACGATGGCCCTTGAAAGTATGAAGACATAGCAAGCTTCGTCGGAAGGACAGGTCGTGTGCTTCGCTGCAGCGTGCGCTGGGTTGAGGCGATCGAGCACTTCTCTGCCCTTTTCATTGGCGAACGGCAGGCTCGTGAGGAGCGTTCGGACAGAAGTTGTGTAATGATCGAAGAGCTGCTGCTGACCAGACTCATATGGTCGCGGCGAAGAGATTCCAATCGAGAAATTCTGATGTCGCTGATGGGCCGTCCACATCTCCATGAATGGACTAGATATCTCCTTGTCAAGGTTGACAAGATCGAACATCTGATAATGAAGCTGTTGTAGCATCTCATCATCTTTTCGGAGGGTGATGGTGCTAGTTCTGGCATGTGATAGTAGATTGGACACGACTTTGGCAGAGTCGGTCGAGATATTGCGTTGAGGACTGGGTATGTTTATCGCTCCGATGCGCGCACTTGATCCTGATCCGGCTGAGGGCTGCAAAGAGTCCCGGGAGGAGATCGCGGAGGCGGGCAAGCTATTTGTTGAGCTTCTCAGCCTGTAAGAGTGTGTGGAAGGTGGCATTAGATCATCATCGTCTTCAGGCCCGGGCAGTGGAGGAGCAGTTGAAGGCTCGACCTGATTGATTGGATCCAGGCGGTAGGTATATAAGCATTCCAAGAAGCGAGGCTGTCTCATAGGGTGAGTCCAAGAGTTCGAGAGCTTGCTCCAAGTACCCTCCCACGCTGTCAGTACGGGATCGTCTGCAGTCATATTGAAGGAGAGCCGACAGATTGATTGGAATGGGATGACGAGGGAATGAAGTCGTCCCGCCGTTTTAATGTTTGCATCGGATCCGAAGTTTCGGAATTATCCGGCATTCTCTGTACCCACTGCATGTGGCAGTATCTGGCTGACGCTCATTCCGCCAAAGCCTTCAACCCAATCATCCGAAAGCCTCGTTCTGCCGGTTCCCCTTCCACAGGGAAACGAGGAATGCTTATGCATCAGGTACACTGTTCACGGCACACAATAGACCGTCTACATACATACATACATACATACATACATACATACATACATACATACATACATACATACATACATACATACATACATACATACATACATACATACATACATACATACATACATACATACATACATACATACATACATACATACATACATACATGCATGCGCGGCCGAGCCTTGAAGTGGGGAGAGGCTACAGTGTTTCTGACCGTTTCGCAGGTGTAGCTGGAGACAAGGCGGAGAGGCTCTCTCCCATCGTGCGAGTCGCTGGGTCCCGGTAGCTGAAACTCTGTGCTTTTTGCAACTCCGTGTGAATGGAGAGCCGGCTATCAATGATGCAGATCAATGATACTCCGAACAGTAATCTGCGGAGAATTCTCAAAAGCTTCCTCGGCGGATTTGGCCGAGCCTCGGTAAATTTAGTATTCGTTAGAACTCGTCGGAAGTCTCGACTTCCGCTCTACTTCAGCCGAGACGCGCACGAAAACGGGTGTTATTCTGTGAATTGTATGTAGCGCATGAGATAATGGGAGTATCTGGGGAGTTCGACATATATCAGTTTATACTTGATGGAGCTTGTGATGGTGCCAGCCGACTGCTCTACTATGGCCTGCCTCTCCAGCCGTATCGACTGAGCCTGTAAACAACCCTCCTCTCTTGCTAAATACACGATTTTTCTGACGTGAGGGCAGTACGAAGACTAAGCGATTGAAGAGTTCAGTGCAGCAGGAATGCTCTCAATGGCATTGGGAACATCAGGCGCCCAGCCTTCTGTCAGGACGGTGGGCGATGACCTACGCTAGCCGAGCCGTACCCGAGTAGAAGAGTATGACTTATGGAGATAGGACGTTCTTCTTCATCAGTATGTATATTCGTTATCTATGAGCTCCCCAGCTTGACATCCCTATCAGAGAGTGACTATGCAAGTAGGACCCTCGAGCCAAATAAGTCTGTGCTTGACACCCCTGTCGAAGCCCTGACAGCCCGAAAGCGTGTCACAGTATCAGCACGAACCCAGATGAGCCAGTGCTCCTCTGATCCGTCATGTAAGTGGGAGATATTGCGCGAAGCAGCGTTTGCATCGACAACTTCTAGTCATCGACTTCGCCGTAGTGATGGTTCAGCGTTTATTCCCTCTTTTGACGTTGACCATCGACAGTATGTGCAGAGCACGAAGGATGTCTGAAAGATCACCGCTAGTTTGGTATAGGCAACATTCAACACAGGAGGTCAGAAATGTATGCTGGATTCCGCCATGCTACGCCCTTCGAGGACTGCAAACTCGAGAGAATCACCTTCAATCGACTTTTAGACCATGAGGTATTGTTCATCAGCTACAGTGCAACGAGCAAAAGATCAAAGTCTGCACTATCTCAAGATAGCAATGTTTATTTCTCCCGCGAAGTCACACAACATGTGCCTGTCCAGTGTCCTCCTGACCTGACACGAGGCATTTATGAAAACCAAACAATCCGTCAGTGCTTCGAGACGTCTACCAATGGCTGTTCATCACATCGGGGTGAGAGAACCATCGACTCAATGGGATCTACTAGAAGCGATCTGTCAGGCGACATCATCATACGAGGCGCTTTAGATGAGAGCGAGATAAGTGGTATTGTCGTACCTCACAAGATGGCCCCGGTACGATCACAAACGGTCGGGTTGAACTCCGAGATCTGACACGAATGTCATGATAAGCAGACTTATCCAGCTCGAGGATCCTACTCGATTATTAACCTTCCCAAAGAGAAATGCCAAGCTAGTATTTCATAGACCACGAATATAGAAAATGATGAGGGGACTATATTTTCTGATCTCGGCACTTGTGTGCTGGTGTAACGGCTCGGCTTGCGGAGATAGCCGACACAGCTGTATGACGAGGATCCGGCTCGGAAGGGCTAGCAATCGGAGCAGCTGGTAACGGTTGGGTCCGTCGGCCGAGAAAAATAGCTGGATGGCGTCTAGGCGAGTGCACGAACACTGTATGATTCCTTCGAGTCCCCAGATACAGTCGGTATTTCACGTCTCAATTCTGATTCTATCTCTGCTCGGACTCGGACTGCGGATCTGAGGAGAAGAAGGACCAAAGGCTTGGCGACGGATCCATGATGCATTGCATGATACGTCCAATACAACTAGTGGTGACCGATCTACAGCATTGCCGAGGGATGTTTCCAGTTTTCAGCTTCGTGGAAGTATTTGAGTGTCAATTGAGGGTGCCACAGAAAGTTTGAAGGCGCGAACTCGCCAATATCGACACACATCACTGTAGAGAGCCATGCAGTGTCTTCAGACAAATCTGCTGAGCCATTTGGCTTCCTTGAACTACAGGCAACCATGGTCAACGACGAGTTCGATACCGACAGTTTATTATGCGACATCGGAAGTTTTACATTCGAGTCATTCGTACTCAATGATCGAGGCAAGTTCCTCAAAGACACGAACTGGCTGAAGCTGCATACGCTGAGCCTCGTACGACACCCCTGACAGAGCATGAACTTGTTTGTCCAAGTGTTCACAATTTCCTGGGGGCTTTGGGGGTCTCGAGGCTTGCTGATACCAGGGGAAGAGTGCCACATTGGACTACGCCCGGCGCCGAGGCGATAATGCCGAGCGGAGACCGGAACTATTTTTGCAGCAAAATTTACCTTTTGTTCGCTCACGTCCTCTTTTGTTTGCTACAATCTACCCTTGAACCCTCGAAATGCGCTCTTTCTCCTCCCCAGAAATCCACAGAGGGCTCTCAAGAGTTCAGTCTGGCGTAGCGCTTAGCACACCCGACCTCCACGTAAGCTTCACATATGAGCCGCACATCCGCTGATGCGAATAGACTTGGCACCCTCTGACCTCATCGCCAACTGCGGACATCGACTCAGACAAGTGGTTTGTAATCCCCAAAGCCCATGGCATTGAAACCAAAAATGGTGGCAAGCTAGTGAGAGGCCTGAAGAGGTTTTGGATCCAGAAACGACTGCGTGACATGACGAGAAAGCGTTTCTCGTCCCAAGAAGAGCCTATTGAAGGGTCAATATCGCAGGGCAAGTTAATACGTATGACCTTAGCCTTCACATCTAACACATGATTGCCAGGTTGGGACTCTGAGGATGACTTCCCCTATCATGTTGCACAAGGCTTGTCGAAGGAATCATTCGAAGAGAGCCCCGAGAGTGGTGAGGCAAATCTGCGTACATTGACTGATAGTCTCCCAGGAGTTGTCGAGACTGATCCCAGCCCTGCAGCGCCGAAGACTGGGCTCTACCGCCGTCCTCGGGTCGCAGCTGCACGTCACAAGGCTGTGATCGGTATCGAGGCCCCCATCCGGAAGATTGACGAGTGGATGACTGCCCTCGGCGTCTCACCGGCTCAGTCGCCCTCCCCTCACGATTTCCTACATCGCCGATCGTCCGCCCTCCCACTCAACGTTGCAAAGCTATCCAACCGCGCCGGCAATGCAGATTCCGCCTCCAATCCGCGACAAGTCCACGTGGAGGAGGCTCAGCAGGATGCTTTCACAGACGCCAAGGAACATTGACTTTTCGAGTCTAGGAATCAATAACCATGCCAAATGCATAGATACTTTCAGTATCGGTGGACAACACGAAGCTAATGGGACACCGAAAGCTCTGTAATGCTCCTATCCAAGATTTGTCATCAGTTCTATGTACCTATCATTCAGGCGAGATATGGACTCGGTCCTCAGGGCGCCGTTGAATCTGGTCAGGGTCAGGTCTGCAAGTGACAGATACCCGTAGCTGTTCACTCAGCTTTATGTTAGCCAGCTCATCAGGAGGCCGAACGTTGAGAACGTTGCGTGCATGTGAATGCAATGCAGGGAATGCAGGCCCGGGTTTGGGGGTATTGTCCGAAATCGTGGAAAGATCAATTATATCGGTCAAGCAATCAGGCTGGTGAGGACGGTACTAGGCTGGGCTAATCTCGATGCGTCCTGGAGAACATAATGACAGCTGTAGAATGGAGGGGAGAGAGTGAGAGAGCTCTTACCCCGTGTTTGCCTCGCACTATTTGCCACGTGATTCAGAGAAAAGCGAGTCTGCTGCCGGAAGTTCATGTCGTGGAGAGCCTATGAATGGACTCCGCCCCCTCGCATCATTCACGACACAAAGTAGTGAGCAAAGTGAGGAGTTGAGGAGCGCGGAATCGTGACAAGCATCGAGACAGAACTGCAGATGCAACTTGCCTCCGATGAGCAGGCATAGGCCCGACTTATAATCAGGGTTTTTTAAATGGAGACCCTGGTGTCTTTGAACTTTCGAACTCATCGATGGAACAGATTATGGGAATCCAGCTAATACTAGCTCGAAGTTTGATAACTCTTTTTGATTCTGAATCAATGACTACCGGTGCAGGTCAGCGAGTTCGATTTAAGAATCGATACAAGAGCTCGTTTTCGATCCACCGCTGATTTCAGTTTGCGCCTGAGGCTTCCATCCGTCTAAGCGATCATTATGGATTGCTGAGCGGTTCATACTAAAGTTGAAGGCGTCATAGGTAATCCATCCCCGGCAGACTTGCTCTGCGCAAGAGGACGACAGCTCTCCAAGGCTTTCGTATCTTGAGAATTTTCCCGACCGGTCCTATGGCGAGGGATGAGAAAATTTTCAATGTTCGAACTCGCCGGTATGAGCTCATTCATCTCTTTTAAGAGCGCGATACCTTACTATGAAAGTATACTTCAGATACCGAGTACAGTTAATTGTGTGAATGCAAGTGCTGGCGAGTTCGAAACACATTCTCAAACAGGCATGTCGCGTCGCGGTCCACCCTGAATTTCATTTGCCGAAATGATTCCTTCATATTTCTAGCTCTTCAGCAAGGAGGGTCTGGGGACAGTGCTTCAGTAGTAAATACCTTTGTTCAGAGAAGCACAAAAGGGCACTCCACAAGACAATGCACTGCCATGTCTGAGTGTGAAATTTGGTAAAATCAGTTTCTTTTTCCCGGCCGTCCGATGCAGCGAAAACCGCCGGGGCGGGGATTTTTGGAGTCGTCGAACTCGCCGACGAAACTTGACTCTCCTCTTGTACAAGCTTTTTTGGCTTGACATAATTGTATTCAAGGCACGGAAAAGATGGAAACCACCTTTTTCATGCCAACGGAGCGAGTTCGATTGTACTGTAGTGAGAGCAGAAACCACTTCAGTGTCAGGAAGGTTCGGCAACCTCCGCTAGCCGATCCGCTACCCGACATACAGAGAGAGATCGAATGACTTCTTCATCAATATGTATATTCGATGTCCATGAGCTACGCAGCATTTCACCGATCTACTCTTCACATTCAGGCTTTATTTCCTTTCTCTGCAAGCCAGCGGGGCGTCTGCACCCTGGTCTTCTTAAGCGGAGGGCATGAGCGACGCCTCCTGATTGTACTTGCAGACTTCAAGTCCGAGATACCTCGACGTGAACCTTAAGACCCCGGCCGTCGTCGCACCTGGCCTATTCGCGTACCAATCTTGTCATAACATGATCGCTTTTCGTGCAACGTCAGCCGACGGGGGGATATACGGCCTCCCCGCCTATGATTCGGGACTATTGCAGTTGTTCACAAGTGATCCCAAGGCACGACGCTGCATGATGACTATGCAGAATCTGCCACGGACTGAAATATGCGACCGCCGGAGGCAGTGCTGTCATGGGCCTACACTTCGCCTGAATTAAGGCTATACAGTGCAGAGACAAAATCGCCTACACAGCTTGGGCAGACACCATACATTCTCCAGCATTCCGAGGACCAACACCAAAACGCAGACAACTTCCAGAAGAGGGAGAGACTAAACGTCTACGGCATTCCCAGCGGTCTCGCAAGACTCTCAGAATGGCCTAGACGTCGTCCAATCGGGTGCTCTGCCATGCACACAGTGTCTGGTGCTGTACCATATGCGCGTGCACAACTCTGACACTGAATGATCACACTTCTAGAGCAGCGGGTGGCACACCGTGGGCTGTTGAAACCGTTCCGCCCACAGATTCAAACTTCTCGTTATGACCTTTTGCCTCTAATTCGCGTCGACGTAGGTCACCGACAAGGGTGGTCTCCTCGAGTCTACCTTCCTTGACGAGCTGCTGCAATCGCTGAGACTCTTTCACCGGGTCAACTCCGGGCCTGAAGCACAGGTCGATGGATTCCAGCGGCAATCCTCGTGTCTACTTGGTCAGCCCTCACCTTCCGGCATGGCTCACCTCTGGCACGAAGAAGTATACAACCGCGACGTATGCAAGATTGCAGCACGCGAAGATGAACCAAGTCTTGTACCCAATATTCTGCACGATGATAGGAAACACGAAAAGAGTTGCGAAGTTGAAAGCCCACTGAGTGGCAGCTTGGAGACCGCCACCAACCGTTCTGAAACCCAGCGAGTGGATCTCAGTGCACATGAGCCAGACACCCGCCATCTGCTTGGTAAGCGCTCGCCGTAGCTGCCACCCACCCAGCCCCAGGTATAAAAGGATTGATATAAGAATACACAAACGGCGGCACCGATACCCGTCCCTTTGGTGTCGATCTTGATGAAGGCCGCCAGGAGGAACATGTCAACTGACATTGCAGCTGCCATGGACATGAACATTTTTCGTCGTCCGAATCGCTGTGCTGTCAGGTACGCTAGAATCCAGTCCTCACCTCGACGAAATACCATGTCATCAGACTGGCGACAAGGAACCAGATCTGGAGATAACCACTCATCAAACTCGCTAGTTCGTGGGTGAGGCCAATCGACGTCTGGAAGATAGGCTGAACGTAGAAGGAGATGATTGTTGAGCCACTAAAACATTGCGCCAGCTGGAAGAAGCAGCCCGTCAATACACGGCGTCGACCTCTCACGCCGTCGTTGGCACCGCGCAGGAAGTCTAGCAAAGAGTATCGATTCCCATTTTCGATTTCAATGGCAATTTCGATCTCTTGGAAAGTGGCTTCGACCTTTTCATCGTCCTCCGGTGCATCTGTTAATCAGGTTGCGTACACGCAGTGAGACCTACCGAACAGCATAGACAAAGATTGCCGAGCTTCGCCGGTCCGTCCTTGCTTCAACAACCATCGCGGCGACTCTGGTACGAATCGCGTCAAGATCATGTTGAATCCTGCGAGAATGCATTGAAAGGCGAACGGAAATCTCCAAGACACCGAACCAACGTATTTCGACATGCCGTAGTCGATCCAGTACGACAACATCAAACCGACGATTAAAAACGAAAGGGAGAAGCCGATAACTCGTCCTCGTCGATTGGCAGGAGTAATTTCAGCTTGCCACAGTGGACAGACGCTGGTGAAGATGCCTAGGCCAGTACCACCAATCAATCGCCCGACGATCAGTTGAGCGAGCGTGGTACTTGACGCCTGGATAACGGCACCCAAAGCGATGATACCGGTTCCGATCATCGTGTTGTTGGCTCGCGAATTGACTTGGCCAAATGCCGCCATACCTAGGGCACCAAACATGGCAGCGAGCTCGAATACACCGGTTGTCAGGCCAGTGAGGACATCGTTCAGGACAAATGTATGCGAGAAGTCGGCTTCATTTAGTACACCGCCTAAGACACCGAGGTCATAGCCAAATAGAATCCAACCGAAGCCAGCCATGATCGTTACACCAATCGTTGCGGCATTGCCACGAAGTTTGCCGACCATGACTTCTCGGTGTTAAATGTCGGCAGTCGAAGAGACGTGCGATTGCAGCTGGCGATAGGTTAGAGGAAAACCAAAATGAGGTCTGCGATGTGTCAAAGTCCACCCTTATGGGATGTCCAGGGCTCCACGGGGCCGCTTCGGGTCGCCTGCTTGCAACGGATCCTCGGGCCGGGTACCCCGTAGCCCGTTTCAACTGTTTACTGATAGAAACAGAATCAAGACGACGGGTTGGGCAGAGAACGGCTGATTCGATTCAATTTTATATTGCATGACGTCGATCGAACCACATCCGTAAATAGCCATCGGCATCGGAAAAAAGACCTCCACTTTCCCGATTTGACTCCCTGCAGTTTTTGTCCACGTTTATGTGGCGAAGAATGTCGGACGATCGGCCCGGAGGCTCCGGGCCTCCGCTTGTTTCGCCGCCCCAATCTTTTACCGGCAAATCTCACCAGAATACCGTCGACTATCCAGCTGATGGGCACAACATGGTCGTCGGATACCCAGTCTCGTTTGTCACGCCCTTCTTAACGACATCAGAGGTCCTAAAGCCAGACCAATACCATGACTCCAACCATCCCCATATCGTGTCCAGCGCTACCGTCGAAACATATGGTCATTCGCATGCACCTATGACCATTCGAATCGGAAATGGAGGCTTAGGCCCAAGCGGCTTGGTTGGACACCTGGCGGAGAGATTTCTCCAAGACAGGCAGTTGACGGAGCAAGTCAAATTCGAATGGGTCTGCAATCACTCGAGGCATTCCCAAGTCGCTTTGCAGGCGGGGATAGTCGATGTTGCCATGACGTATGAGAGGACCGAAGAGGCTCGAGCGGAAGCGGAGGGATGGTCAATCTCCAAAGGTGTATTCTGCCATGATCACTTTCTGTTGGTCGGCCCTCGTTCGAACCCGGCCGGACTGCCCTCCGCGGCGACCATACAGGAAGCCCTCGCTCGCATCGCCGCTGGCAATATGTGTTTCCATACCCGTGGGGATGGCTCGGCAACGATGCACCAGGAGCATGCTCTGTGGGAGACGGCGGGAGTGCCCTTCGAGCTCCGCAGCCGGTCGTCGTGGTATGTTCGGCATCCCCTGACTCCACGAGAAGCGCTGGTCAAGGCAAATGAGCAAGGCGCCTATCTTTTGACGGACCGGGCGACTTTCCTACCCGCCGTAAAGCTAGGCGAGATCCAGGACATGGCCGTGTACGTCGAGGCTGGGAGCAACATGATGAACTCTTGCGCACTCGGGATCCGAAGCTCGGAGAGGAGAACTATCGTTTTGGATTTCGTGAACTGGCTGCAGGAGGATCGTGCCCAGGACATCCTTGCGTCATACGCTCAGGACTGGGAAATGGGGCTACCGTTGGTGACGCCCCGGGAGGCGCCCGAATTTGTATCCCAACGTGAGTCAGTATCACTATAGCCGTCGCGCTTACTCAAAGACGAGCTTCGGCATCGGTTCGCACCTCACAGTGAAAGCCAGAGTGGAGCTTGCTAGACTCCCCCGCTCATGTTCCGTGCTTGGTAGCTGAGTCTGTTACAGAGACCGTCCGATGCCAGGTGAAGAAGTAGTGGGATGGTGTCGGAGATACTCATGGAGCGATGATTTTGTTTGTTCCTGGGCCAGCTCCGTCCCCGAAGGGAGGTCGAGAGAGGAAGAGATTTACTGCTTATGGACCTGATGTATTCTGCTGACGCGGTACAAAGCACAGAATTCAACCCAACCAGCTCATCACCTGCTTGTTTGATATGGTATGCACCAGTCATACATGAGTGTCTGCACAATCGCCTACACCCGGATGGGCCACTCCGTCATTCAATGCCTTGAGATGTCATCAGTTCGGAGTCGAAGTCGGCAGGTGTGCTAGACGTCCGACGCCATGAGGTTCGACCGAGTGGTGAGGTGGATCTACAGGTTAGGTGTATTCTCGCTCAAACCAGACTATTGGATAATCTGATTGGCGAGGGGGCGAAAGAAGAGCAAGGTGGGGCAAGCTCAGAGTAAGTGACAGTCTATGCCTGCTGTCAGCTCCCCGCCCCGCTCAATCACCAATCACCAAAGGAAAGACATCCCGTATGGAATTACGATATGAGAAATGGCTGAATGATGAACGGGTTCCTCAAAGGTTCAAAATTGCTTGAGCCGTTCTATTTTTGAATCTCCTCACTTTTCACCCGGTTCCCATTTCCAATCGAACTCGCCCGTGTCTTATTTTGATCCCAGCAAACATCAGTCCCTTGTTTGCAATGCCGGTTTTGAAATAGTCTTTCCCGCATTGCCTGCAAATATCCATTGTGCTGGCGAGTTCGAAGCAACAAAAAGGCTGAATGCTATCTCAGTATTTTGTGGCAGGCTACAGCTGACTCTCAGATCCACAGGCAGTGTACGATCGCTTCTTCTCAGGCCCGAACTGAGTCTGTATGATCATCCGCGGAGGTTCGTAGATTGGAGTCGTTCGGATTTGCGATTCAAAGTACTTGATGGGTACTGAAATCATATTCAACGAAGAACGGTTTAAGTCTCACATTACACTCATCGAGGTCTAAGATACTGTATGTATGAGCAAGTAGAACGTTGAGCGAGGCTTATAATGTCTCCGATTTTGTTCTGATTCCCGGGGTCTGGTAGCGCTGCCTTCTTGTCAAGAACAGACCTATCCGGCTCGAGGGTCCTACTTGGATGATGCTCTCTGAATAGGGATGTCAAGCTGGGTAGCTCATAGACAACGAATATACATATTGATGAAGAAGAAAGCTTTATCTTTATGAGCCCTACTCTTATACTCGGGTAACGGCTCGGCCAGCGGAGATCACCGCCGACCGTTCCTGACACTTCTTTACTCCTCGGCGTCACACCCTAACGGCTCAGGTCATGCTGGTTTCCTCACTCCTTGTTGGCTGTAACAAAGCTCGCAAGTCTACTGGAAAAAACCCCGGTCTTCTGGGGTCAAGACGAATCATTTGTGGATCAAGCGAGCTTCGCATGCTACACACCTCTGTCTCCAATACTGAGCCATGAACGGGAAAATTGATGGCTCACAACTGAGATGCTGTTGTGCTAGGATACCAAGAGATCGAGGACCGTTGATCCTAAGCATGGCCCCTTCTGGAGAACCGAGAATTGATCGGAAATAATCGACGGTGTTACCTCAGAACGTGGACAGCGTTGCAAAAGTGTTGGTCCTTTCGTGGAATTGAACGCTTGTAAGTGTTCCTCCTTTCCAGTGTCACAGATGTAAGCTCGGTGACAAAATGATGGGTGCTGCTGATGCACAACAATCAGCGCGGACAGTCCCATCGAACGGCATCGGCGATACACTACATGATCATCACTCATCACTGTGCGATCATGAGTAATTCTATCCCCTCATCGCATAGTGAACAAGCGTGCATTACCGGATATAGACTTTCATGACTTGCCTTCTCTCTCATGGGTGATTCACGGTGCGATGTCCCGAAAGCGGTCATCGCCGCCTACCTGCGTGAAGGACCACTCCCAAAATCTCCGCCCCCGCGAGCCTACAAGCATCGAACTCACATATCAATGCAAAGTATAGACCGCGAACGCGAGCATGTATTGGTCTATTCCGAATCTCGATTATTACAATTTTGACTCTCGAAAAATGACTGGATCGGCCGAGTTCGAATGCTCGTTTACTATGGTTGCCCATCCTTTTCGAGTCTCCCGTGTTTTATGAGATCGAACTCGCCAGCGCAAGCAACCAACATCTTATCCAGGTGATTTTCGTCATTATCAGGGCATGTTACCAGTTTCTTTGGTTCAAAATCCACTACATCATTGATCTCCGTTGAGTTCGATGATCCATGACATTGCACCACATTTATGCGCAGGGATTGAATCTTGCGGATGGCTCGAACTCGGTGAATGTGACCCTCCGATGCTATACCCGCCAGGTAGCAGTACACAAACATCATGAACAGGGCAGTGATTTGCTCCTGTCAAAGCGATAATGTGTTGGCAGCGAGTTCGAAGCATAACCCGGTTTTTCCTTCTTACCAGGTCCAGTGCGCGGCCCCGACCAGTGCGCGGCCCTGACGTTTCGAACTCTCGGGAAGGTCATTTCCGTTTTCATACATGTTTGCGTGTTGAAAGCATTGCATTGAGGACTGGATCGCTGTGGGCTTAAGTTACACTGCTGATTCTGCCCAGTTCGAGGCCTCTAGGTTTCGAAAACAGATCGACGACGCCCGTCCGAGTGGACATGAATCGGTTGACTGCTTGTCTGGGGCGGTAAGCATGTCTAAGCGGGAGGTATCCATACTCATACCATATCTACTTCAGTTGACTACATTGGAGGGAGCACATCCGTAATTGCACATGGCTTGCAAAGAGAACCTCCTTCGAGCATATCGAACACGAATTTCAAGAGCCACTTAGATTTACACAGACAAAGCAAACAAAATGATCGAAGCAAACAAAATAATTTTCCAAAAGCAAACAAAGTGAGCCATAGCAAACAATGTTCTCCCGGATCCTTCAAATTTGTCCATTTCACCGCTTGGCACTATGACTCCGAATCTTTGTATGATCTCGGCTGTCGTGGAGATAAATCATCTGAACTGCTCTGTCAGGACAAAAGAAGTCTATCAAAGATCGAATGTTGGCGGACAAGAAGCCCTCGATCCTTACGAAGGGGTCTGCAGGCCTGACGGTTTGAATGCACGCGCCATTTCCCTCTTTGCAGGCGATTGCAATCAATGTTTTTGTTGTCACTGACTGGGGAGTGATCAAAATCCATTCTGCCGGCAGGTCACATTCTCGCCCGCCGCACATAGAGTATGATAGCAGATCCACATTCTCGGTCTGGGCGCTTGCATTCCAGTTTGAGCCCGTGGTTGATATTCGTCGCTACACGGCTCTGCCAGGAAGAACATTATTCTACACGCTGCTGCAGACTCCGGCTGTGGAAATAAGCCAGTATTCGGGATAATACCGAGATCAGGGTGGGGCAGCACAGTGGCTGATCGGGCGTAGTGAGAGCATATGCCGCAAAGTGTCAAGTTCTCCATTCGAGCTGAAGATACAGTATGTATCTCCGAGCCATAATCCCATCACCATCAGGCTGTAGGATGAACACAAATCAGTAGGACTCAGCATACTAAAGCGGTGGTCTTTGGCAATCACAACACAGCCCCAAACAATCTGACCAAGGGGTGATCATCAATCTGATTCACATCAGAGTCATGTGCCTCAGATACTGATGGAGGCTGGTATAGGAGGTGATGCCATGTGCGCGTTCCTCCCTCAGTATATTCATTTCGGCGAATCAGGGAGCCGGTCCGTACAAATACGCGGTATAACGGTATAGAGGCTGATTGTTGCCGAGGGCCGTTCAAGCGGTGCTGTGGAAGGGTATTGTGCGCCTCCGTGATCCGCCGGAGGAGGGCTCAGCTGTCCTGGTCAAGCGAAGCCTCAAGATCACAAACAGTGCGGGCGAACCGCTGGCGGCATAAAGCCACGGCGCAACCTTCCCTGATCCATTCCCTTGGGACTTCCCCACTTGCTTGCCTTATTTCCGCGAACTGGCAGCCAAGTACTTCCCCTTCCATTCAGGGGGCCTTCATTCTATCCACGTATCCACGGACGATCAGGCGGGCGCTCTGAACGCTCGGCCAATGTGAGATGCGCTATAAAGATATTAGCCTGATTGACTCAACCCTAATTGAGAATGATCCGTCGGACACGGTCAAATGCGAGGCGCAACATCCAAAGCTTTCCATTTCCCCATTTCCCCGAAAAGCCGCGAAAACATGTGGAGCTGTAGGAATTAAAGTTTTATGTCCGGTGGCACCGCGTGGGGCGAGCATTTCGTTACGATGGCCGCGATTGAACTGCTCCGGCATATAACTCCGACGACCCCAGTCTCTCAGAGCATCTATTCGCTCGATTTCCCCCACCACTACGATGACTGAAGCTGAGTCACGAGCGCACGCGCCCAGCCCTGCTTATGAGGTTGGCTATGCGGGCGACAACTCTACCGCGGTGGAAGACAACATGGAGAAGAAGGAGGCCGTCGTAGAGCAGCAAATTGAGAGGCCTGGATCGCCCAACGAGGAAGAAGAAGAAATGGCTGCGGGTCTCGGTGTCATCGAGCAGAGACGTGCAATTCCGCTGTCTGGCAAACGAAAGCCCACGACAAAGAAGGAATACTGGTCGTTCATTTTCTTTAACATGTACTCGACTGCGAACCGTGAGTTGAGGAGGTTTCCATGGCTGACACGCCCAGCGCTCGGTGGAGCTGTGCAGAATATCAGACAGATGCTGTTGTTCGACGCACATCCGAGCGGTTTCATGCCGTTCGCCAACAGCAGTCAGCCAGGTGAGCGCGCAACTGCAGTGACTCATTCTGACAACAGTCAACACTGTGCTGTTGGACATCAATGGGATCCTGGCTGTGGCAGGTTTGGTCCTGATGTTCATTATCGGTCCTTATGCGGACTATGGAAATTGGCGTCCATGGATCCTAATCAGTGAGATTTCCCATGAGACCGTCTCCTAACGCTCAAAGCCACGGTCACTATTGCATGGGCGATTTGCTTCGGTATGCTCGCCATCAAGAATACCAATCAGTGGCAAGTCGCGAATGTGCTGTGGGCTATAGGCAGTCTGAGTGAGTGGAGAGGTTAGGAACTCGACTGAACGAACAAGCCGGAAGTGTGGTCGGCATCTTTTATCAAGCGACGTATCCAGGACTCGCTCGAGATCTCCCGAAAGTGATTCAATCGGAAGAGGACGTATTGAATGGACTCAAAACGTGAGCCAAATTCTTTATTTGACGGCTGAGTTGCGTAGTCCCGAGGAACACGACAAGCTAGATTCAATGGAACGAGCACAGGTGGGGTTTTCCGTTGTTGCGAGGGGCTGATACGCTTCAAGGTTTTTAACTATGCGAGTATCTTCAGCTCAGTCGCGGGCCTGGCGATGTATGGCGCCGCGTATGGCTTGGCTAGAGCTCTGCAGGGGGATGGAAGCGAAGCCGCCAACCTGCGTGCTTATCACTGGCTCATCATCTTTTACACCCCCCTCTCAATGATCTTTGCACTTCCATACCTCTGCTTCATGCAATGGCGGCCCGGATCGGCTGTCCCGGCGGGTATCACCATGTGGACATCGGGACCTCGGTGAGTGACGTTGTAAGGTTGTGTACCTGACGAGGTAGGCAAGTGGTGTATGCTGCCAAAAGTATCTTGCAACTCAAGCAGACTCTTTTGTATCTGGTCGCTTACATCTTCTTATGGGAGGGTAAGTCACAACTCGCGCGCTCTGGGCTGACATGAAGCCATCGGGGCGTTCATCGGCGTGTACGCCATCCTGCTGCTTGAGTGAGTTGCAAATCATGTGACGCCGCTGAGAATGAGGAACGTGCATTATTCGCCGGCACAGAGCACGGCATTCACACTTGTTGGTGACGTTGCCGGAGGTCTTGGCACCGTCGCTATTCAGCTGCTACACAAGAAGTACGGCTTCAAGATCAAGTGGATCATGTTTTTCGGATCGATGACTAGCAACTTCCCGAACCTATGGGGTGCCATCGGGACGTTTACGAACAAGATTGGCTTCCACCATTCGTGGGGTGAGTGACAGGCTGTGGGATTCAGCTAACTTGCCAATTCAGAATTCTGGTTCTTCCAAGTCTGGAATATGGTGACGGCTTGTGCCTCGACCTACAATGTCACAATGATTTCCGAGGTCGTTCCGGCGAGTAAACTATTCATGTTTTACTCGCTTTTCAAGACCGTCGTTGGAGGCACAGGTTTCAGCGGTCCTTTTATCGTAGCTGCGATCATCAAACAATCGCATGGCAACAGCAACACGGCCTTCTGGTTCCTCTTTGCGATCGGATCCATTTCTACCGTCATCATCTTCTTCGTTGATACTGACAAGGCAAAGATTGATTGTGCGAAATGTGAGTCACCGCTTGCGCCAGACACTGACGGGATAGGGGCGGAGCGGGAAGCGGAAGAGAGATATACCGAGGAGCAACGTGTGGAGAACAAGCTAAACGTGGAAGTGGACGAGGATAGACATGTGGCTTGATGCGGAGAGCCTGGGGCATTTGTCGCGTGACTGGTGTAAATGAGAAGATCTATATAGATTCTATGCACAGATTCAGGATGAGTCGAAGACATGTGTTCCGGGGGTGGTTACGATAGTGCCCCTTGGCTAAGACTTTATGGGGACGACTGAGGGCGCCTCTTTTTGGAGACTGGCCACGTGTTTCGGATTTGGCTACGGTACAGCCAAAGGGAAAACAAAATGGCTCGAACCTACTCAACACGGCTGCGTTTCATTCCAGCCCATTGCGTGTGCTTCACGAAGGTGGGACGTAAAAGGGAAGGGCCTGACAAAGAGCTCTTTGTGTTCCACTCATGCTCCTCGTCTGTGATGCTTTCATAAGACATAGGCTCGATCGAAAACTGCCCAAATAGGTAGTGCGTGCGCACGCATCTGGAACACCTGACCAGGGTGGGAAGAGTCAGATGTCCCGAACTATGACTCAGTTCATTTCTGGAAGCAATCTCACTTGACATCTGGTGAGGACACAAATAGATCACTACTCGCCAAGTTGAGGCGCGATCTAGCCAGTGATGCGCGATCCGGCGGACCGGGTGGTAGGCGTCTTCGGCGTTTCCTTCAGGCAAATTGGTATCAGACGATGCATCAGCTACCTTTTTGCTACCTCTGAGACTGGATCATGATGCGTCTGATCTTTTCTTGTACATTGTCTAAACTCCGCGTACGTGAACAACCATGGTGAGTTCATTGATGTCATCATCGAGGGCCTATTTGGAGGTGGATCGCTGGCCAATGCCCAACCTATCCTATTTGAGACTTTTCCCCCAGAGGAGCAGACCATCGCCCAGGGCCTGTTTGGGGCGGTGGTGATTGCCGGGCCCACTATCGATCCGGTTCATGGCGGATACATCGCCAGCAACATGAGCCGGCGATGAATCTTTTCGTCACCCTTCCCGTCGGCACTGTGGCGGCCATACTCACCATCATCTACCTGCCCAAAGACAAGCCTTTCATGGGCATCACACGGTCCATTGACTACCTCACCATCCTCGCGTTGGCCCTTGGACTAGGCAGATTTCAAACGGTGCTCGAGGAAGGGCAAACTGAAGGTTGGTTTAGCTCCAATTTCATCCGCACATTCAGCGTGCTGAGCGCCTTTCGCCATGTGGCCTGTTTGTGGCGCACACTGCGCAGCGCAAATCCATTGGTGGATCTTAGGGTTCTCAAACACCGCTCTTTGTAGACAGGCTATATTATTGGTACTTTATTGGGCGCAGGGCTGTACAGCGCCAAGTTTACTGTGCCCAACTACGCGCAAAATTTTATGAGCCTCACTGTCGAGCAAACAGGTTACACGCTTGCCCGAGGGCGCAGCGCCCATGAGCGCAGCGGGGATGATCTGTGTCTCCTTTCTCGTGCGTCGCCTGGATATGCGCATGCTGCTTGGCCTGCGGCATGGCTATATGCCCCATCACCACCTAAAATATGTACATCATCAACCCCCGTGTAGACCGGCACTTTTTCTTTTTGGGGGTTAGGGGGTTAGGGGGTTAGGGGGTTAGGGGGTTAGGGGGTTAGGGGGTTAGGGGGTTAGGGGGTTAGGGGGTTAGGGGGTTAGGGGGTTAGGGGGTTAGGGGGTTAGGGGGTTAG